ATTGCTTTTCTGGCTATATTCAGCTTGCCAGGCCAATATGTGGAGACTGGACCTGAAGCAGGAAAGGCCAGAATTGCTGATACTGTTGCATTCCGTGTGTTCTGCCTCCTGAATGCAACTTCTCTCTTTATATCTCTCGCTGTTGTTGTTGTTCAGATTACTCTGGTTGCCTGGGATACTAGAGCTCAGAAACAAATCGTCTCAGTCGTGAACAAGTTGATGTGGGCAGCCTGCGTTAGTACCTGTGGAGCATTCCTAGCTGTTGGTTTTGTTGTTGTAGGGAGGAAAAGTTCGTGGATGGCAATCACTATTACTGTGCTTGGTGCACCAATTCTCATTGGAACTCTCGTTAGCTTGTGCTACTTTGTCTTCCGACAGCATTTTGGCATTTGTGGTAGCGATTCTCAAAGGCGTATCAGAAGAGCAAGTGGGAGCAAATCTTTCTCATGGTCTCACTCTGCAAATATCTCTGATATGGATGACTACAACTCTGATGACAGAATTTATGCTTTGTGAGACTGACGTTATGCAAATGTTCGATCTAACTCTGATATGGATGACTAAAACACGAGAAGACTGAAAGTATAGTCAAACGCTGTTGAACCCTGTGCATGTCACTGAGAAAGTGAAAGTGATGTTGAGTCATGATACCTACACAGACATCAGGTACTCGTTTTCAACACCATGCACGAAAATTTCCCTTTACTTTTTTGCTCATAGTATGAGTTATGATGAATTAGCAAAATCGAGAGCTCTGCTAGTTAGTTGTATAGGTTTCGTGTTGCTTCAGTCCTTCAAGATGTCCATTTTACACAAGTAGTTTGTTACTGAACACTTTTTCTGGCGTGTACGGTGTACCCCTTCGATGTATAATCATAATCTGAGGTTTGTAGTTTGTACATAATAGTGTTAGGGACTATGAAATCCCTATAAAAAGCTTGTAAGTTGTTGGATGGAACATTGCAATAGAAATCTACATAAAAAGCCTTCTGAATATGTACTTTCATTATGTTTATGTTGCCCCGAGCGTGGGAGCCTCGTTCGTCTTTGGTACTTCAGTTAGATAAGCCGCATACGATGAGATGAGAGGCAGCAGGTACTTAAAGGAATAATTGAGTTGCACGCAAGTCGATTTACCAAAACAAAGATTGGTAAGTGGCAAGTTTTGACAAATAAAAGGTTCAAATATTTATCCCTATTTATATCTGACTTTAAAGTCTATTAGTCCTTCTCAATTAAATTTTTTCCAAAAAAATAAAAATAAAAAGCTCTTAACCAATTTTCTTGTAGTACTTTTTTTTGACAAACTATCACATTTATGAGAAACATTTTGTATAATTTGAGCAGGTGTAATACGTTAATATGTCATTTAACTTGCTTTCGTTGATGTTTATGTCTTTCAATTTTGAGTTTGCATAAGTAAACACTTAAAATTGAACAAATAGATACATTCGTCCTACGTAATAATTTTGTATCCTGATGGTGTGCTACGTGTATTATGTTGTGAAGGACGTGTGTGATTACTTGTTCAATTTTATACAAGTTTAAGTGTCTGATTGTGCATACAAAAAGTTGGATGACGTAGAAAGGTGAAGATTATTTAGTGTTTACCACTTGTGCAGCCTTTTCTAACAATATTTATCGTAATACTCTAATACTTTATTCGATATAAATTATATGTTGTGTTTTTCTTTTATGCATTTTCTAAATTAGTAGGAGTTTTGATCGTTATAATTATTTTTAAAAATACAATAAATAATTTATGAAAAAAAAATAAGAGCTCGACAGAGTCTTCAATACAGTAATAAAGGCTTAATTATACTTTTGTCTACGTAATTTTAGAAAATGTTGATTACTTCTAGTAATTTACTAGCATGGCTATCACTTTATTGCAACATTAAAATGTATAATAAAGTCTGTTTAAGAGGAAGTACTATTTAACCTAATTTTTTTCTATAATTAAAATTTGAATTTAAGACCTATAATTAAAAGAAGAGAAATACATGTTCATTTTTTTAAAAAAAAAATTGTATCTTTTATTTGAAAAGCATTAACTTTTATTTATAAAAATTTTGAACAAATGAATCGCTCTTGAAGTTTAACTGGTTAAGAAAAAAATTAAAATTCATAAATTGATCATCGAGTTTGAAACTCTAGCAAAATTTCACAGTTAGATTATGAAGCCGGTATTCCAATGCAATAATTCTTGCAAGAAGAATGTCTTTATTTTATCGTGAATGAATTCCATAAACTCGAACATAGAGTCTCTAGTAAATTTTTTACAACGCATATTATATTAAAGTTTGAGTTATCAAAGTTTTGAATTACTCTAATATTGTATATTGTATAACGTTTTGTCTTAAGTAGTGGTTATATTATAATTATATTTAATTAATAAACGATTAAAAAATTAACTTGTTTTCATTCCTAGGATCCAAACCTAAAGTTTTCTACGTAATGACGAGGAAGGAATCTTATTCATTCCGATGTATCGTCGATACATATGTATTAAAAGATAAAGGTGTTAACCATCCCATACTTAGCCCTAAACAACAATAATTAGGTCTAAATCTCACACTAATATTGCTAATTCTACTTTTAAAGTACTCAAACTCATAATTATTAGTTTCCCCTTATCTTTAGGCTTTTAACTTGAAGGAAATTGACACATCATCTGGTCCATCTTTTTTTTAATATATATAATATATGCATACATATCAATCAAAATTATTAAGTTAATTTAATCTTAATCTATCTTAAGTAACTATCATGACAAGGAAAAGATTAAAAAGAGAATTTGGTTAGGTAGTTCCTAGGATTCTATACTAATATTCTATTGATTTTTAACTTCTAATTTATTACTACACCCTCACGTCTCAAAATATTTATCGTGTTTTTTATCGATACGTTTCAAAAGAAAATATCAATTAAAAAATGCATTTAGCTATTTGTTATTGTTTTTATATCATAATTGAGATGTTTGTAGTCTTTAAGAATAATTTACTATTGAAGGTACAACAATAACATATTCAATGTAATTTTACATATAAAGTCTAGAGGCAGAAGGGTAGAGTCTATACAGATCTTATTCCTACCTTAAAACGCACATATACAAAAAAAAACATTTTGAAGGATAAAATTGTGGAAATATTACGCTTATGAAACGATTAAATTTTTTAGTAAAGACGAGAAATATTTTAAGACGGAGGGAGTATTATTTATAATATTTTGACATAATTAGTGGATTAGTTGAGTTGAGGGCTTAAGGACTTTTTGCCCTTTCATTTTATGTATGGGGAAGCTAATAATTAGGAAAGTGACAACACAACAAATTAGCAAATAATTATATTTTGGTCTTGAAAATTGAGACTGAAAGCATGCTAGACAAAATATTGATATCTTTATTGGTATGTGTTTTTTTTAAAAAAATAACATAAAATTGAGACAAATAAAAATGAAAAAGGTGTCCCCTTTTATTTAACACAATCCTTATAATCTGATAAAGATAAATTGAATTAAATTAAATTGCAAAAAAAAAAGTTTTTTAATTTGATTCATTGATTACATTTGGTTTTAAGTAAAAAAACAATAATCAATTTCCATCCTATCATACACATTTTTTTTAAAAAAAAAGTAAAAAAATATTATTTTCTTTTGTAACAAACATATCCATACAATATAATTTGATTTCTTAGCTAATTAGAAGACTAGATTTTAAAATTGAAGTGGATTTATTCGTATTCTATTTTTGAATATTCTTTAAAATTTGGTTGTTTGATTAATTTGAATTCGATAAAAATTATATCCATAGTCAATTTTTGCTCCTATTATTTATAATATTAAAGGTTTATTTATTTTGTAAAATTATTTTAGGAGGAATTTTGTTACTTTTGATGTTGACTATAAATACATATAAATGAGACAAACTTTATCCTTATTGCAAATTTAGAAATAGAAAACTAAAAATGTTCAAATTTATTGGAGTCAAACAGAAGGGCACTACCGTCAAATCAAGTCCAAAACAAGCATTTAAAACATATTTGCCAAATATTAATATTATTACTATTATGTGTTGTACCAGAAGAACTCTAATAAAATAGTAAGTCTTAATTAGAAATTTTGATGAATATAAAATTATCTTTACTAAAAAGTATTTTATGACATACAAATTTAAATTTAGTTAAATTTTAATATAAATTCTTATCGAAGAGAAAAAAAAAAGACCACTTCATTATTGGTGCAAAATGTTAGAAAAACAAAAGCCTAAGTTCAAATTTAATGAAGTAATACAAAGGTCACCATAGTCAAATTTCAAAAGATCTGTCAAATATTGATTTTATAGGTCATCTATAAATATTGTTTTTAAATTTATAGCCTTTTACATAAAAGATTTTTATTTTCAAAAATATATAAATTTACTAGGAGAGTTTTTAATCCTATATATAATGTCGTCTTTATTTAAATGCGATTTAATTTTAATATAAGGATTTTTTAACACACATTCAAATTTAATCAAATCTTAATATTTATACTAAACACTAAGATAATTTTATAGAAGAGAGGTCGTAGATATCTTGTATTGATGACAAACATTAAAGTATATAAATGTGTTCTTTAACTTGACCATAAACTTGTATAAAGTTAAACAAATAAACATATGAGTTCTACGTGACATAATAAACGTAGAATATCATGTAGGACATACGTTATCACGTAAGATGTCACATAGGACACGATACAGACGTTTATTTGTTCAATTTTATATAAGTTTAAGTGCAAAAAATATTAAAAAGGACATAAATGTGAAATAAAATCAAATTAAATGATATATTTATATTTATGCCTATATAAAAAAAAATATTTTTTTTTTGTAAAAGACTTAGAAAATTATCTTCGAAAAATGAAGGGGTAATATAGTCAAATTAAGTTAAGAAAATAGCATTTCAAAGTCGCTCTAGTCCAAATATATGAATATTATTTTTGTGTACTCAAATCTCAGATCAACACAGCTAACACACAACTCACTCACACACTCTCTCTCTCTTAATCAGATTTTTTAGAGAGAGAAAAACAAACTCCCCAAATCACTGTATTTTAGTGAGAGAAACACACTACTACTATCATTTTGAACTTAAACATTCCACACACTTTCTCTCTCTAAAAGTATACAATTATGTATATATAGAGAGTTTTTTTTTTGTAGGTATAAATCTCTGTGGAAGTAATTTTTGGTGTATTGGATGTGAGAGAAGAAAGGTGTAAAAAAGTTGAACGGAGATGTCGGAGTTTTCCGGCGAGTTATCGGAGTTCAGTTCCGGAGAAAACGGCGTCGGTGGAGGAGGCAATGTGCGTGAGACGACGCCGTTGACAGTGTCGGCGTCGTTTAAGGAAGGGAAGAGTTCACGGAGGAAGACGGCGGTGATGAGGCCAAGCCTTGATGCGGATGAGTTCTTTAACCTTCTTCATGGTTCGGATCCGGTGAAATTGGAGCTCAATCGACTTGAGAATGAAGTCAGAGGTTAGTCATAGTAGCTGGATCCAATGCTGATTTGGTGTTAAAACGATGTCGTTTTTTTGTTTGCTTTCGGATTGATGTAGTATGCTTTTTTTGTAGATAAGGACCGGGAATTGACTGAAGCTCAAGCGGAGATCAAGGCACTGAAGTTATCAGAGAGATTACGAGAAAAGGCTGTTGAAGAGGTTCTGCTGTTTTCACTATTTACTTTTTTATGCTCTTGTTACTGTTGAATGTTGCTTTTATACCACAATGCGAGCATAGAATGTGTAAAAAGATAATTTTTTTTTGATAATTGTGGTGTTTGTGCTAGTTTTTGCGCAGCTCGACTAATTACATAGGATACCTCTCACCTCCCATCAATGAAAGAAATGGCTTGGTGTTCTTTTTGTCTCTGTTGGGATTTGTGATTTGTGATTTGAACCTGAAACCTCATGGTTCTCAGCCCATGTCATTGACCACTATGTCATAGCCTTGGGTTTTGTGAGAGATATTAAAAGGAAGGAGTGGGAAATTGAATTGTTTTTACTCTTTTGAGTATCTTTCTTAATGAATATAGTTGAAATTATCCAATTCTAGAAATGGACTCCATTGGTGTACTAGTTGTATTCCAAAATTAATTTGAACAAAATCTTTTACAAATGTGATTTGCAGTTATTTAATTGACTAATGTTAAATTCTTCTGGTTTGAGAGTTATGTGGACTCATTATTTTGAGGATTTTCTGTTTGCTATATATGTGAATATCTGGAATGTTCCGCAATCCATTTTTATATGGGGAGGGCAGTATATTTCCAAAAGAAAATGTTGCGACTTTATTTTACAAATCATAAGAGTTGAATAAGGTTTGGCTTTCGCAGTTGGAAATTGTGGTCTACTCTTATTAGGTAATTGGTAGGTCTAGATTATCACTGGATTTATGCTGTGCTTTAGGCAACAAAATTTTAGTTTAAGTCTTGCCTTTTTGAACCAAATCATGCATTTTGATTGATGAATACTACTAGTGATGATTGTAAAGCTATTTATCAGTGTGGAAGAGGAAAAACTGATGTAGATTTCTATTTTGGCCTAATTTTAGCTCACGGATGAGTTGTCAAGGGTCGACGAGAAGCTTAAGTTGACAGAATCTCTTTTAGAAAGCAAGGTACTACTGAAAACTCTTATCGTCAATTTTTTTTCTTTTTAAAGCTTTCTATAACTGTTAATAATTTTCTTGCTTGGCAGAATCTTGAAATTAAGAAAATTAATGATGAGAAGAAAGCATCAATGGCAGCTCAATTTGCAGCAGAAGCCACTCTTAGAAGGGTCCATGCTGCCCAAAAAGATGATGATATGCCGCCTATTGAAGCCATCCTTGCACCTTTGGAGGCCGAACTCAAACTTGCACGTCAGGAGGTGTGTGCATGTATTTGAAAACTGGCTGTGGTAAGGTAAAAACTCAGTTTCATAGATTTCCTTATTCTTTCACCTTCCTTCTGTGCAGATTGCAAAGCTGCAAGATGATAATAAAGCACTGGATCGTCTTACAAAGTCGAAAGAGGCAGCTTTACTTGAAGCTGAGAGAACTGTGCAGTCAGCATTAGCAAAAGCTTCTATGGTGGATGACCTTCAGAACAAGAACCAAGAGTTGATGAAACAGATAGAAATATGCCAGGTATGTTGATCACAGGGCTAGCGTTTCTGGTGATCTGAACATTGCATCATTCTCTCCTTTTAGTTTTAAATGATCAATATTCCTTTTAACTAATCTTGTTTCTATTACAAACATACATCAGGAAGAAAATAAAATATTGGACAGAATGCATCGCCAAAAGGTTGCAGAGGTTGAAAAGCTTACCCAAACAGTACGTGAGCTTGAGGAGGCTGTTCTTGCTGGTGGTGCAGCTGCTAATGCTGTCCGGGATTATCAACGGAAAGTTCAAGAGATGAATGTAATCTATCCTAGCTAGCTTTTCTGAATTATACTCTTAAACAGTTAGTATAAGGACAAAATTAAGTGCTGGAATGTTTATATTTATCTATTTTCCAGGAAGAAAGAAAAACACTTGATCGAGAGCTGGCACGTGCCAAGGTAACAGCTAATAGGGTAGCAACTGTGGTTGCTAATGAGTGGAAAGATGCCAATGATAAAGTAATGCCTGTGAAACAATGGCTTGAAGAAAGGAGGTTTTTGCAGGTACAATGATATCATTTGATCACTATGAGATAGTATACTCTGTTGTCTTGATAGAACTTACTGCGTTCTGTTTATGTAATTTAATGAGCGTGTTCCAAAATCTTATGCTACAGGGTGAGATGCAAACGTTGCGTGACAAGCTCACAGTCACTGAACGAGCTGCTAAATCAGAAGCCATGTTAAAGGTAATAATTCAGTCCAATAAATGGGTGTGTTTATGTGACTGTCCCAATTTGGTTATAACTTGAAGTCCTTCATTTACCTCAGGAGAGATATCAACTGAGGCTTAAGGTCCTTGAAGAAACATTAAGATCATCCAGCTCAGCTACTCGCAGTACACCAGATGGTAGAAGTTCAAGCAATGGTCCTTCACGCCGGCAATCACTGGGAGGCGCTGAGAACATCTCCAAATTAACTTATAATGGCTTTTTACCAAAGAGATCACCATCATTTCAGCTTAGATCTTCTGGGTCCAGCACAGTGCTGAAGAATGCTAAAGGGACATCAAAGTCATTTGATGGTGGCTCAAGGTCATTGGACAGGGGAAAAAACCTTCTGAATGGCACAGGTCCAAATTTCAACAGCAGCAAGTCGTGTGATGGAACCAAAGACAATGAGACTGAGAATAGTTCCTGGAAAGCAAGTCAAGTTGAAAAAAGCAATGACACACAAGTGACAGAAACAGAAGACACTATACCTGGAATATTATATGATTTGCTGCAAAAGGAAGTAGTTGCTTTGAGGAAAGCAGGTCATGAGAAGGATCAGAGTCTTAAAGACAAGGATGACGCCATTGAGGTTAGATTGATTGCTCAGCTATACCATGACTATCACTAATGACATTTCTGCTATGATTGACTGTTGTCTTTGTTATTCAGATGTTAGCTAAGAAAGTGGAGACTTTAACAAAAGCCATGGAGGTTGAGGCTAAAAAAATGAGAAGGGAGGTTGCTGCCATGGAGAAGGAGGTGTCTGCCATGCGGGTTGAGAAAGACCAAGAGAATAGAGCCAAAAGATTTGCAAATTCAAAGGGTCCAGTGAGCAGTTCTCAGCTGCCTCCAGGAAGGTATGCCTTTAGTTTTCATTTAACACAATTCTATGTTAGTAAACACCACAGTTTATGCTTGCCATCTCCCAAATGAATCTGTTAGAAAGGTTTCAATTGTAGGACACAATTTTGCTTTTTTTCACAATTGATCATTTTTAACAATTCAATTGTATAGCTACTACTTAGGAAAACAAACAATTGGAAATATAATTTTGGGGGTTGCTTGCATGACTGTTATTGAACCTATCTAAATCCAATCCTTTTTTTTTTTGGTCCAATCAAATTGGGGTGACTTGGTTAATAATCCGTTCATTGACTTTCTATTTTAACTCGTCCAAACTTAACCCGACATTCCAATTTGACACCATTACCAAAAATTTGCATCAGTTTAATTGTGTGGTGCTTGATTTCTTTGTTCCATCAACTGCTTTTTCTTACTTCAAATCACATTGTATTATCTGCAGAAATGTAGCTCGAAGTGGGTTAACACGCAACATTCAATAACAATAAGAGGAAACTCCAACTACTACAGCTCTGAGAAGATATTCTGCATAGACTTGCTGTATTCCTAGTCTACTTGACAACTCTACTATTTTCCACTAATGGTTTATTGTAAAATTGTAACAAAGCATGCCAATGACTATATGATCGAAGTCTATCCAAACACTGGAAAAGGCCGGTAGATGAAATGTGGTGTGCTTCTGACTTTGACTATGATCCCCTTCTGCTTAGATATCAGCTTGGAAAGGTACTCAAGTTATCAAAGTTGAGCTAACTTTTTCGCCGAACAGCTTGAGTAGCAGTGGTGGTGTGGTTGTATAGGTAGCTCTTGGCATTTACTTTGCTCTATACTCTTTTTCTCAACTTGTTTGCAGTCTATATTTGTAATCTGCAGCTTAATTGTTATGATATGTTATTGATTCGTGTTTGTCTATATTCTTGTAATCAGAAAAGGATGATAAATTTTTTTGCCCCTTCTGATCTTTACTATCCATGATATTTGTGTTATATAATTATTTTATTTGAATCTTTAAAACTGATTTAGTACTTATCTACCTCCTCCTTCCTTCCTTGTAGTGCCTGAGTTTTTGATATCCTAATGACTCCAATTCTTGGCATGAATGTGCATAGGGGCCAGCCAGCTCCTGTAAGTGAATCAATTGTCTTTTATTTTTTGTTAACGTCTGTTTGTGTGCGTGCACCTTGATTAATTCTATGGCAATGAACAAGACCGATTTGCTATGTTCTTCTGACTTACCATCTTGTTGTGGTATGATTTGAACGTGAGACTTCGTGATTCTTTTCGAAAGTTAAGTTTGGGGGGGGGGGGGACCTAGTTTTCTTTAACGTCACTCCTAAAGGGTTATGGAGTTAGTTGTGTAGAGCATAATCTTTGTCAGAGGAAGCACATGGTTATGGTTACTTGGTCAAAGACAAGGCAAATAAACCCATGTAGTAATGATGCTGAAATCACTTTGTGTCAGTATATTTCATGTGCTTCCAATTCCTTGAGTCCAATTTAAGATTTGCTTTAAAAAAAATAACATTTCATAAAATTGCAGGAATTAGTCTTTTTAACTTTTACTTTTTAGCAACTAAGCTTATCCATGATCTTGCGGTAGAGCGATAAATATTCCTTTTTTCTTAATAAGAGGTCTCAGGTTCAAGTCTTTTAGAATATGGAGTCGTAAACTAAGCTTAAGACTAGTGTGATGTAAGTATTTCGAAAATTGAAGCCATGTTTAAAACATAATTTATTGAATATTATGATACAAAAATAGAAGTTTATGCTCTGAGATTTTATTTTATAAGGGCAAAAGTGCAAGTAACCTTTATGTGGTATTGGAATTTCCGCTTTAATTTGAATAAAGTTGATTTTCCCTTTGGAAAATTATTTGCCATAGCCAAAACAATGATTGATCATTTTAAAATGTATTTTCCCGTTTTAATTTATTTGGCTTATTTTGACTTGTTAATAAGGTGAAGGATGTAAAGAGTCATTGTATTTAAAACAGATTATGTACCTAATGAATATTTAACAAGTAATGTTCGGAGACAATGAAGAAAATATTGCGAGTAACAAGAGAGTGGTGCGAAGTCTATCAGAATTGAGCAAAGACAACAACAAACTAGTGTGATAATCAATAAACAAACATACTAGGATCGATGATTATTGAAAATAAGGATAAACAACGGTAAAATGTCAAAAACAAGAACAACAATAAAATACCAACCACCATAGTAAGCAAGACAAGACAATGCTACACTACGTACTAACCTGTTATCTTAATACATATCCTTCACATCTTTCTATCTTAGGTTGTATCTTCACTAACCTAAAGTTGTATCATATCCTACCTTATCACCTGTCCTTAATACTATATCAGCCTCTCCTCGTATCATCTATAACCAACCTCTCACACCTCCTCATGATGCGTCTACGCATCTCCTCTTCACATGTTCAAACTTAGTCACGATTTCCTCATCTTATCCACCAGGAAGGCCACTTCCACCTTCGCGAACATCCTCATGTCAACTATAAGTTGGAAAAATATACACTAGGCCTGTTATTTACTTTATGAACAAGAGGGACTAGGCTCAGCCCAAATCCCTTATAGAGTAGAATTGACACGAGGTAGCCACTTCTACGGCTTCCTTATTTAAAATATAGCCAATATTTGCTAAGTGTATAACATTTAACTTGTAGCCCTTCTTCTTGCAAGTATTGGACATTCTCAATATAAGAAGTTCAAATATTTTTATTTTAAGACAATGATGATACCTAAGACAATATATAATAATAATAAAATAAATCTTGTGATGCATTGAGAATAAAAAAGAAAGATATCGTCTAAAATAGTTATCAATAAGTTATATGATATGTTTTTTTCTAAAGATCTAAAACAAGAAGTAATGATAGATCTTAGAGTTATAATTAGTAATTATAGAGTTTTTAGGAATGAAGACTTTTTTAAAAAAAAACTTAAATCGAAAATGCTATAACAAAATTTCACAAAAGAAATATATTTGAAGATAATTAAAATTAAAGAAAAATAATAAATACCTTTGGATTCTCACTTGTGGACCTTTCTAGAAACCCTAACAAATAATAATAATAATCATAATCATAATCATAATCATAATCATAATCATAATTATATAAGCCGTTAAACCAGCATCAATAGCTATAGCCTCATTATTTCCACCCTATGTTTATATATTAAGATTATGGAATCAATCTTCAAAGTTAAATATAAATTAACAAGAAAGCATATATGTGAATTATAATTAAGAGAGGAATAAGAATATTCTAGGAAGATTTATTTGTGTGTGGTACATAACCTTCTCACTAATTCAGATTCGTATCACACAAAATTTATACACATATTTATCGATTCACTTCATAAATTCATGAAAGTTATATGTAAAGTTTTCTCATAAAACAAACAATTTGTTGGTGAATGTAAGTGTATTTATATTCTTAATTATCTTTTGAATTTGACGTTTGAGAATGAAATCGTTTTTATATCAGAACTAAATATACCTTGCCTCAGCAGTATAATGTCATTCCTCTTCATTGATCCCCATTTACATATATGAATATATAAATAAAAACAATAGCAAGCAATATGAAATTGGTTCACTTTTTCAAATGTTAGATACGCCAGACCGAAAAAATAATATACGTAAGACAGGGCTAAAGAAGGTAGCATAAAAAATTTCGTGCACGCTAATATGCTTGACGGAGAATTCTTTACAACTCAAAGTGAAAATTTTCATTAAATAAATTCGAATTCATGAAAACATAAAGCAAATATCGAATATAGGATGGACAATTGTTCGAAAATAAGTTCATTTTAGAGGGGACCATGGACAGCCGTTTAGAGGGGACCTATATATATATACACACTTTTGGCTATGAGTGCAAGGTAAGGTGTGATTCTTGCAAATGATTAATAACACTAATGTGGGCTAAAATAATAATCATTAACTCCACCATTAGAATAGTATAATCATAATTATTAAATTTGATTTGGACAATAATGTGGATTTGCATGGGCACTTCTAATAATGACTTGTGTGGTTAATTTTCTATTAGTAACTATTTGTGTTTGTTGTGAAGACATCAATGATTATACTTTTTTCTTTTTTACTATTAAGAATTTCTTTTTAAAATTAAACTTTTTATACATCATAGTTTAGATAATTTTTTACACAATTACAATCAAATCATAGAAAGAATATTTATTTGTAATTAAGCCTCCTGAAATATGAGATGGTTGAAATCTTTATTTTTATACTATTACTATAAGTTTATTCAAAGAATATCTATAGGTAACTAAGTCTTAAAATATTTGATAATAAGATGATTAAGATCTCTTTATTATTCAAATTTCATCAAAAATCACAATACAAATATTAGACATTGTGTAAAAAAATAAAAAGAAGAAGAAGAAGAAATATAGTACAATGGACAATGCAAAAGTATCCCCCTTTTACTATAAAATCATCATATTTAAGGCAAAATGATAGTAAGTTTAAAATCAAATAGTTTTCAAATTAAAAAAGAAGACCTTTTCTACTTTAATTATGTGAAAGTATGATTAATTTTTAGAAGAAAAAGAAGGGGAAAAAATGTACTCGTACCATATAAAAATGGAGGTGTGACTTTTAGAACCCTTTATAAATTAGAACCTCACATTGTAATTCACAAACAACATAGTGAAATATAACAATATGGCTGCTCTAAGCAACTTCAAGAATGGGTTGATTGCATTTTTAGCCACTTTTCCTTGTATTCTTTTCTACCTTTGTTTCCTTCATAATATACACAATGAAGATCACAACTCATTGTGGAATTGGTGCAATAACCATCCAATTTTACTTGCAAATATCATGTTTTTCCTCAATGTTAATGTCCTCTTTTGGTTTATTGCTCTTCTTCAATCAAACCTTCATTGGGTAACTATAATACTCTTTTATCTTTTACTTTGATGAATTTATTTTAAAAAAAATATTTTAACAAAACTCTCAAATTGGAAGTTGTATAAGACATATTGTTGCAAGAAGTCTAAATTTTTTTCAAAATCAATATATTGAAGTTGGAACTTATTTTTTTATTTTATAGGGACTAATAAGAAATTATTTTTGAATTTTACCTGAAATGCAATGAACTTATATTATTATAGCTTGTCTGGTCAAACTTTCAAAATCTGAAGTATTTTTTTTTTTGGTTAGAAGTGCGCTTTGAATTATTATTTTTGCATATATTAGAGCTAACACTTTGTGCTTCATCAAGGTCTTGTAAAAAAACTAAACCTTTTGACTTTCCAAAAGGTTGACTTAATAGGCTACTAATAAATCAACTTAATATTATTCGTTTTGGGCCAAATCGACACGATTTTCTTAAAAAAACTTTGTTGGCATGCCTAACAGTATTCTTCCAACTTAATAATTAGTGGCAGCGTGAGAAATTTAATAAAAGGAGAGCAAAATTAAATATACGTTCATAATAGCGAATATTTTATTTCCGTACACTAAAATAACTTTATATGTGCAACGTACCGCCTTTTGCCTAAAATAACTCCGCCCATGCAACTTATTTGGGATTGAAACGAAGTTGATGATTAACACACATTTGATTTTGGCAGATGATAGGTTTGTACTGGATGGTTATTCCAGTAATGTTGTTACATTTCTATGCCAATCTTCCCATGGCACAATACAATCAATTGAGGTCATGGATTGTGACAATTTTGACATGGATTTGGAGTATTAGGATGATTCATAGCTACTTCAGAAGGGAAAATTGGCAGTTGGGAGTTAAACAAGATTGGAGATATACAGATATGAGTAACCAATATGGAAAAAATTGGTGGTGGATCTCTTTCTTTGCTATTTATCTCTCTCAACAGGTAAGTTTTAAATTACGTTCGCAAACTCATGTTGTGTATATCCTACCCTCCTCAGACTCTTCTATATTCATGTGTACATCTTTCTTTATGTGGTTGTGAAAAAACAAGATATTAAGTTGAAATAGTTATAAGTTATGTTCAAGTTAGAACAAGCGGAATTGTTTGGGAGACCCTTGTACTTGTTTTGGATTGTGATCCCGGCCCGGTCGTTGTACTCCACTTTTTTTTTGCGTACATTTTTACTTGTAGGCCGGGACGGGACTAGGGGGCACAACGAGTTCATCCGAGTCGTCTTGAATCCACTTGACTTTCTTTATATTTTGAATCTCTTTAGTGAAAATTCTGGCTCTGCTGCTTGCAGGTTTTACAAATGGGGATATGTCTTCCTCTATATATTGTCCACTCAGTTGATAAGCCATTGACTTTTTTGGATTTCGTTGCTATCACGATCTGCTTATGTGGCATTACAATCGCCTTTTACGCGGATACAGAGCTCCACAATTTCATCATCAAAAATAAGAAACTACAACAACTTGGCCAACCAATGGTTCCAATTCTTGACAAAGGCCTTTGGTGTTACTCAAGACATCCAAATTACTTAGGTGAGCAATTGTGGTGGTGGGGATTGGCCTTATTTGGATGGAATTTGAGCCAAAATTGGATCTTTATTGGTGCACTTATAAATAGCATTTGTTTGGGATATGTCACTATGCTTGTGGAGAAGAAAATGGTTAGACAAAAGTATAGAGAAGATGCATATAAGCTCTACCAAAAGAATACATTTGTTTGGATACCATGGTTCAACTTTTCCACAAATGGAAAAGATAAGAAGAAAGATTGAGTCCATGGATTGTTCTACTTTGCTTTGTATTTATTTCTCTTTGTATGTTTCATTTGATTTCTTGTGATGACTATGCTATATGTTCATAATTCATCAGTTACGTTTCAATTTATTTATCTAGTTTTAATTTGGTATACAGTATAAGATCCCTTAATTCTTTGGTAGCGAATGTCTTTGATAGTTCGACCATTATCCCTCGTCTAACTCAAACTATTCAACTGTATGACTATTGTGATTGTTAGGAGTGTAGTGGAGATTACGAACAAAGACATATCTCCCCTCCTAATTTCTCTTGGATTTTTCAAAATAAATAGATTTTAAAAGTTTTGACCAAATACGAAACAACTTAAATTGAAACAAAATTAATATATATATATATATATATATATATATATATATATATATATATATATAATAGTTAATATAGTTTATTTTTTATATATAAATTAAATTTATAAAACCGTTATTTTGGTTTTCTCTCATCCTTTCGTCTTTGCTAATTCCCCGCTCATTTTTCTCTTCCAGATCAAAATTAGTTAATTCAAAACCAACTCCATTTTTTTCAAATCTCAATTTTCAAAAAAAAAATTAAAATATAATAAAAAGGGTGCGTTAATGGCGACCCTCGAAAGCTTAATCGGATTGGTGAATAGAATTCAACGTGCTTGTACTATTTTAGGTGATCATGGAGGTGAAGGAATGTCCCTTTGGGAAGCTCTTCCTACCGTCGCCGTCGTTGGTGGTCAGGCTAGTATTCGTTTTTTTTTTTTCATTTTTCAATCTTGTCCTGTTTTTGATATCTGTAACTAAATTTGAATTCGTGCCGGAGATTTTGAAATATCTGGTTAAGGACGAAATTATACTATCCATCATGTCATGTTTTTGGTATCTGTAACTAAATCTGGATTCGTGCTGAAAAGTTTGAAACTCTGACTAGAATCAGAATGTGAAGCATACTGATATAATCAGAGACATGGATTTAGGATTTGAGTTTTGCAGTATTAGAAAAAAATGGAATTAGTTACGGAATTTATCGTTAATTTATAGCTAAATGAGACTAGTATAGAGATTTTTGTTTTGACTATGAAATTTTTGTCCGTTTTTAATTCCTTGTTTTCTAGTAGTGTTATGCTTTTTTTTTTGGAGGAGTGTTTTGTTTTTTGATTGTTGGGTTGTTGTAATCAATCAGAGCTCTGGAAAATCGTCGGTGTTGGAAAGCGTTGTAGGTAGAGATTTCCTGCCTCGTGGATCGGGTAATTTTACTTTTTTTAGTCGACAACTAACACTTCAACTCGTTCCTATTGTGTCTCGTGGACACCTGATACTGACATGACATAAAGTTGAGTGTTCAACTGACATAGTAGAGATGAGTTGAGGTGTCTAGATGTGCATCCTCAAAGTTAGAGTGTCTAGTTGTCTGTTGAAGCTGAGTTAAGGTGTCTATTATCAGTGTATTAAGCCGCTCTCAGTCTCAGACTAATTGGCGTCTGCTATATGAATCCTATATATCTGTGATTTGACGTGCTTAACTTCTGAGCAATTCCCTCTTGTCTGACAGTACCCTTTATACTTGTTTTTTTCTTTTGAAATTTGAAAGGCATCGTCACGAGGAGGCCATTGGTTCTTCAACTCCATAAGACTGATGGAGGAGCTGAATATGCGGAGTTTCTGCACGCTCCTAAGAAGAAGTTTCCTGAGTTTGGTTAGTTTGATATTATATGTAACTTAACTTTCTTGTATAATTGTCAAAAGTTATGGTTTCGATTGAACTCATAACTGTAATGCTAGGGGTAAGGTCTTGCCTACACTTTACATTCATATAGTAGATGTTGAATTCCTTTGCATGTTTACCTTTTTTATATTTTGCACTCTCTTAGTAAAAATCCTGGCTCCGTCACTGTTGTTAACATAATGAGAAATCCTGGCTCCGCAACTGTTGAGATTCGATGTCTTATATTGCAGCTGCGGTACGTCAAGAGATTGCGGATGAGACGGACCGCATAACAGGGAAGAGCAAGCAAATTTCAAATGTTCCAATTCACCTGAGCATTTTTTCTCCTAATGGTATGTGTTCTTCATCAGTTCCATCTTCTCTAACGATATGACTCGCCATTATGAGTCATATCTTTCTATCCTTCCCTGTTCGATAATCTTTAATGACTATCGAGTGTGTGTTATTGTATTGCAGTGGTAGATTTAACACTCATCGATCTTCCTGGATTAACGAAGGTTGCTGTAGGTGAGCACGAAATCACTATTTTCCTATAGATATAGAAAAGGAGCTAGGCGATCTTCCTGCGCTGCTGTGTTATTTCACTCTTAACGAAACTGAAAACGATGAATCTTGAACTGTGCAGAGGGACAACCAGAGAGCATCGTTGAAGATATTGAAATGATGGTCCGCTCTTACGTGGAAAAAGTAAGTCTCTACATGAGTGAAAATTTTGGTTCCGCCACTGTCAATAACCAGTGCTAACATATTGTTTGTGCTATAGCCCAATTGCATTATACTGGCTATTTCTCCTGCAAATCAAGATATTGCAACTTCTGATGCAATAAAACTTGCAAGAGAAGTTGATCCTTCAGGTACTATAGTGAGATATACTAATTTTGCAAAATCGTGTGTACATCGAGTTATCTGAGTGTGTATATATGTTTCATTTCATATTTCAGGTGAAAGAACGTTTGGAGTTATAACGAAACTTGATCTGATGGATCAGGGAACCAATGCCTTGGATGTATGATTGATTCCTTTTTTCAAAAACTGCGATCCTTGGAGAACTTATTGTTGATATGTTATTAACTTATTTACTGATGTTTAAGGTACTCGAAGGTCGATCATATAAGCTCCAACATCCATGGGTTGGAGTCGTCAACCGTTCACAGGCTGATATCAACAAGAGTGTTGATATGATGGCTGCTCGTCGAAAGGAGCTGGAATACTTTGAGTCAAGTCCTGAATATGGACATCTTGCTCATAAAATGGGAGCTGAATATCTTGCAAAACTCTTATCTAAGGTTGGCTTTCCCTTCTTGGCTTTCAAATATTTCCATTAGTACATAAAAAGACACGCAATTTTGGCCTCAACTGGCGAGTAAATACTTCAACTTTGAGTATACACATCTAGATACCTCAACTCGTCTACAATGTATCAGTTGAAAAATCCAACTTACAAAATGATCATCTGAACAACTCCAAAATTTATGTGTCACGTTAGTGTCAGGTGTCCACGAGACACAATGGGGACAATTTGGAGTTTTTAGTTGCCAGTTGAAGTGCTAACTTGCCCGTTGAGGTCAAGTTAAGTGTTTGTTTATGTATTATGCCAATTAAAAATTCCCCGAGTTACCTTTAATAACTTTTTGATTTCTCCTGTATTTTAGCACTTGGAGACTGTGATCAGACAGAGAATACCAAGCATTATTGCTCTAATAAACAAGACAATTGATGAGCTTAATGCTGAGTTAGACCGAATCGGACGACCTATTGGTGTAGATGGAGGGGTAATGAACACTACTCCCTCCATTTCAGTTTATTTGTCTTACTTTCCTTATTAGTCTGTTTCAAAGATTTAAAACTCTTCTTTACTTTCTTAAACTCCGTGTCAAGTCAAAAACAGATAAATATGAGACTAATGGTAATTAATCTGGAGGTTCTTGTGTTCTTTAGTAGCTTGAAGTAGTTGTTTCTATCTACAGGCACAACTATACACAATCTTGGAAATGTGTCGTGCATTCGATAGAATATTTAGGGAACATCTAGAAGGAGGGTAATGCTTTAACTTCCTTCATTCGTTCTGTCCATTGTTCTTTGTTAGAAAACAGTTAGTTTCGAGGGTGTAACGAGATTCTAACTGGTAGTTTTCTTACTAGCTAGCTGCTATTTCTACTTTTTCTCAGGAGGCCAGGTGGTGATAGAATATATGGTGTCTTTGATCATCAGCTACCAAGTGCTCTTAAGAAGCTTCCTTTTGATCGTCATCTTTCAACGAGTAATGTCAAAAAGGTTATTTCCGAGGCTGATGGATACCAGCCTCACTTAATCGCTCCTGAACAAGGTTACAGAAGGCTAATCGATGGATCTCTTGGGTTCTTCAAAGGCCCTGCTGAAGCCTCAGTTGATGCAGTAAAGTTCTTAATTCTCCGTTTCAAATGCTTGTCTCGTTAAGTGTTAATATATGTTCTCTCAAGGAAAAAGAGTCTAAAAGATAGTAACAGAAATCAACAAACAAGAAACAACAGATAGTAACATAAAACGAAGGACAAGCATATTGATGTAATAGAATCAAACATTATGATGTGATATGAAATGGACACACACGAATACACATACATATGATTTTTGTACAGAAGATAATAGCTAGATACTTGGTTCAACATGCTTAATTTATGTTTCTATCGCGGTCTGTACTTATGAATGCTAAATTATTTATTTACAGGTGCATGTCATTCTGAAAGAACTTGTGAGGAAGTCACTTGCAGAAACACAGGTAAAGGAGAAGGTCTTCTTGTAAATGTCCCGTTTCAATTCGTTTGTCTTACTTTACTTTTTAATCTGTTTAAAAAGAACGTCTCTTTGGCTGCTCTTGAACTCCAACTTTCCACATGACATGTTTCTGATCACAATAGAATCCATATGCAGGAATTGAAACGTTTTCCGTCACTTCAATCTGATATTGCAGCAGCAGCAAATGATGCTCTTGACAGATTTCGTGATGAAAGTCGAAAAACAGTTTCACGACTAGTAGAGATGGAGTCTTCTTACCTAACAGTTGAATTCTTTAGGAAGCTTCAGACTGAACCAGAAAAACTGCCTGGAAACCAAACACCAGCACAGGAGAAGGCGCAGGCGCAGGCACAGGCAGCTTCAAACGTAGACCGGTATTCAGATAATCATCTAAGGAGAATTGGCAAGTATCATATCGCTTGCATGTTTCATTCAACCAATAATTTTTTATTTTTTTTTGTGAAATGGACGAAATCTTGAGGAACATTTTCTATTGACATAATACATAAACAAACACTCAAACTTGGTCTCAGCTAACAATTAAACACTCCAGCTTTGAGTATGTACATCTAAACACTTCAACTCGTCTCCTCTGTGTCAGTTACAAAATGATCATCTATACACACATGCAAAATTTATGTGGCACGAGGACAAATTGGAATGTTGAGACCAAGTTGAGGTGTTTAGATATTCACTCTCAAAGTTGGAGTGGCTTACTTGTCAGCTGAAGTCGAACAAACGTGAGTTAGAGAAAATGTGTCTAAATTTTGTTGCTTCATATGCAACAGGATCAAATGTCTCTGCTTATATAAATATGGTCTGTGAAACCTTGAGGAATACTATTCCTAAGGCAGTTGTCTTTTGTCAAGTCAGAGAAGCAAGGAAGTCATTGTTAAATCAATTCTATTCACAAATCGGAAGGAGAGAGGTAAAGTATTTTTATGTATATATAACAGATGTTGAATTTCGTTCGGCTTCTTTGAAAATCATGGCTCCGTGATATTTTTATGTAACAAAATGTCATACTATTTGTGAATGTGCAGAAGGAGGAACTGGGGAAAATGCTCGATGAGGATCCCGCTCTCATGGGAAAGAGAGAGACCATAGCCAAAAGACTTGAGCTATACAAGTCAGCCAGAGATGAGATTGATGCAGTTGCTTGGAAATGATGAATCCAATTTTTCACGCGGAGAAAATATATAGGCTATCTGGTAAAAAACAATTCTCATATTTCAGGATAGAGTATAAATAAAGTGGTAGGAGATGAAAACATTGTTATCGAGTAGAGTAGAGTGATCGATGGTTTATTTTTTGCAAGTATGTTCTTTTCTCGATGTCAATACACCTTCTTGCAAGGATTTCTGTCAATTTTTGCTTCTGTTGATGAGCAGAATCACATATACTAGGAAATAAAAATGTACTATTATGTTGTAGGTAGTATATGTTAATTAGCTTACGAAAAGTTCTCAAACAGTCTCTCTAACTCCACGAGGTATGGGTAAGATCTGCATACAGTTTAATCTCCCCAAATCCCATTTTGCTACCCCTAAAATATCCCCTTCTCCAACGAAACTATTATTTCTGTGAAAGACAAAAGTTGTGTAGTTTATGAGCATGAACTATTAGTATAATGTACATACAAATAATATGAGACTCAGAAATTAGTGAATAGTAATATATAAAGATACAAAGCGAAAGGCATAAACATATTCAACGGCCACGAAATGGACTACAAACAGCAAGATCAAAAGCTTATTTACACAAGCTGCATAAGGTTACTCAAATCTATGGCAAGGTGTATTCCAGTGTCTACAAAGTGGAACCGTTCTTGAAGAAAATGCAAAGTTATACTCGAAAATATATATGAATTCTGCGAGACTAACCAGATCATGCATCAGAATCTTGCTTGCTCGCTAAGCACAATTCATACAATTCGTTCAGGACCCAGTCCTCCCCGGTATGGCCTCCTAGGACAAAGACCCTTGTTCCTCCAACCACGCATGTGCTATGACCCCAAGCAAACTTTGGAGGTTGCCCAGGTACACTGAGAGTCCTCCATAATGGTTTTTCCTCTGAAGGATCGAGTAGAAAGAGTTGTGAAGGAGAGTGCAGTCCGCCAATTGAACCTCCGAAAATGATGATACGACCACAAGGCATGGTTACAGCAACGTGATCAAGTCTAGGAGGAGGAACCACAGCATTTTGACTTCCTACTCCTGTGAACGCACCACACTCAAGCTGCCTCCATTCTGGCCTTTCGTCCTCCAAATCAATAGTGTATGATTCACCTGATCTTAAACGCACGTTAGCGCTGTTGGCAAGGCCACCAAACATTAGAACTTTTGTCTTCCCATAAGCTGAGAGTGAGTGTCCCAATCTAGATGGAGGAGTCCATGCAGTTGGAATTTCTCTCCAGGTAGGTTTGTCATTGGTGAGATCCAACAAATATGTGTCACTGAGAAGTACACCCGCACCTGTGCATCCACCTGAAACAACCAACTTTGAGCCTTCCATCGTGCAAGAGCTGTGCCAACACCTAGGAAGGGGGGGAGCTCCACCGGATACTTCTTTCCATGTAGGCTGTTTAGCATCTAAATCAAGAACAAACACGTCATTAAGCAATCCCTGTCTCCCACATCCACCAAACACCACCAACCAGGAACCATTAAGACATGAGAGAGTATGGCCCCAACGTCCTGGTGGAGATGATTTGACACTCACACGTCGCCATTCTGGATTAGCAGCATCAAGATTGAGAACAAATGTGTCATCCATTGGCTGCATATTAACACCTTCCCCTCCAAATAACACTAGCCTGTTCCCTGCAGCACATGCACTGAAGTTGCAACGTGAAGGTTCTACAGCACCTCTAACTGTCAGTTTCTTCCAACAAACTGCTTCAAGAGTGGTTAGCTCCCTAGCTAGACGCCCCCAAGCTAACTTCTTTGTCATATGTTCCAGCACACCTGTGACATCAGCTCCCCATGCATTTTGACAGACCATTTTTCTCACATGCTCATTTTTCGTCAATTGGCGTATCCTTCTACAAACAGAACCAATGGATGCAACATCCCTTGGAGTCAATCGAGATAAAATGTTGTGAGCTAGAACTTCATCAGAGAGCTGAAGAATACCGCATATTTCACGGTGCTGACAATGCAATAAATTACCGCTTTTAATGGAGTATTCGCTGGACTCGTCACAGTGAGACTGGCAAGTTTCTCTGAAAACGGGATATGACACAGTATTCAGGTCAATTTTTGTTTCAGAAAACATTTGAATCCCTATAATATGGGTCACTGTGCCATCATCACTATGTATGGGTGCAAGTCTTAGCCTATTCACCACAGGTGTACCATCTTTTTTAAAGTTGAGAAGCTCCCCTTGGAAATCAACACCTTCTTCAAGACATCTTCTGATCTCAGAAACAACAACAGGATCCACCAAAGGATGCCGCCTTTGAGCGCGTGGATCTCTAAATTGCAAAAACCGACTGAAAATAATTCAGTGAACGTGTCAAGATTCCTCAACAGTAAATGATGTCAACATATAGTATATCATGAGATGGATGCTTAAATATTAGTAATATTGAAGTCAATGGTAAGCTCATCTAAATTTGTCCATATGTTAATATCCAGAGATTAAGAAAAAAACATCAATTGAAAAAGAAAAAAAATCATTTAAGAAGAATCAGATATAACATCTGTATGGAACAATTCTAATAAAGAATTGATAATGTCAAGGGACAGAAAAAGCTACAATTAGTTTTCTAATATACTAACATTGGGTTGAATAAAGCACTAGAGTTGTCCCTTATTAAATATTATCTTAAAAGCACTAGAGATTTGAATAAAGCACCTGATACAACCCACTAGCGGTTCGAGTTGCTTCTGTATTAGCAACTTCTCAGTTGCCGATAAAATTTTCACAGAAAGTAACTCTTATTATTGTTGTAGTCTGAGCTCTCATTCAATACCAAAATTCAATTCTTATGATTTGTCTGAGACTGAGAGATAAATGGCAATAACATGAACAGATGGTTGACTATACAGATACAGACAGGGTAGTTCTGAAAACCGTTATGATTGGACCAACTTGCACACATCTCAACTAAATTCTGCGGGAAACCTATCAATTCCCACCAACAAATAATACCAAGTAGCTCTATCCACTCAAGCAAGTACAGATGGAAAAAAGAAGCAAATTTTCACCATTTGCATTTGCAAACCCTATATTTTGTTCAAGTACAATCCAAATCATCAAAAATAGTTCCAATATACAGTTAAATAAACTCAAATCAGCTAATATTTAATAACCGTGGAGCCTAGACCAACTTGTGCACATCTCAACTCATTCTACAATTCATGTCAACTTCCACCACCAAAAGATTTGTCAGCGCAAAAAGAAACAAACTTTACACCATTTGCATTTCTAACCCTACATTTTATTCAAGTACAATCCAAATCGCTAAAATGAGTTCCAATATACAGTTAAATAAACTCAAATCAGCTATATTTTTTAATAACTGTAGTGGTGCCTAGACCAACTTGCGCACATCTCAACTCATTCTACAATACATGTCAACTTCCACCACCAAAAGACTCATCGGTGTAAAAAGAAACAAACTTTTCACCATTTGCATTTCCAACTAGTACATTTAGTTCAAATACAATTTAAATCACCAAAATTAGTTTCAATATATAGTCAGACTAAGCTCAGATCAGCTAATTATGTTGATAACCATGGTGTCTGTATTAGCTTGCATACACCTACACACCTAGACTAATTCTAGGGGATACCTACCTAATCCCACCGGCAAAACAACAAAAATAGAAATCTGTTTCAGATTTAAACCAGAGAGAACTCATTGACCACTACACTGCAACTCAGATCAACTAATTTCATCTGTAAAACTACCAATTGAGTATTTGCTAAACTCACACAACACCATAAAATAAAATTTTGCTAAAAATACCAAAAAATTTACCAGTTACGACCGAGTACTTCGTCAGCGCGATAACCAGTAGAGCTTTCAAACACAGAGTTCACATATATAACCGGAAGATCAGGATCTAATGCATCAGAGACAACGATTGAAGACGGCGTCGTTAAAGGATAGAAAAATCCAACTGGTTGTGAAGTAACTTCAATATTTTCAAATTCTTCTTCATCTTCATCTTCATCATCATCATAGTAATCGAGAATTTCTCCTTCTTCATCTTCGTCTTCATCTTCATCCATTTTTATGCATTTGAATCTCTTTTCTCTTCTCATGTTCTCTTCTTCTTCTTCTTCCATTTTCTTCATACCTATTTTTTTTTCTCTTTTTTTTTATTGCCAAACAAAAAAATATCTTGGGTGGCTAAAGATATCTTCTAGATATGTTTGTAAAGTTGTGCTGAGAAAATAGACATGAAGTTCAACTTATTAACACAAATGCCTCTTTGGAGTATATCTCACATGAATTATCACGAAAAATATATATATCTAATTGTTTGACTTTGTATAAATTTAAACGTATACTTACTTATAAATAAAAAGTTTCTTAGTATTTAATCAAGTTAATAAGACACATTTATATGTTATGTATTTGAAAAATTAGTTATGACTATAATTGTTTACAAAATTAAATATTTTTTTAGAATTATTATTATTTGAAATTTAATTCATAGTTGACACTGAAAGTAAGATATTTTATGTGTGTATGTGGGGGAAGGGATGTAAGAATTGAGTTAATATTGAACCCAATATTTTTGATATCGTGCATAGATATGTGTGTGTTATAATCTTAAAATATTTGAATTTGTAAATTTAAAAGTATAATGAATTCTATGATAGAAATATGACAATTGAACCTATCAATCGATATAGTATGTGTTGATATCCGTTTAATACGAATGATATTTGTTGTTTGAATATAATCATTGATCGATAAAATTGATACAACTCTTTTCCCCAATATAACAATTATAGTTATATTCCAAAAATATGTAAATTTATAGTTATATTCCAAAAATATGTAAATTATATTTATGTTTGTAACTACGCTTTAAACTAGAACTATTTATAAAAATTTATATACCTTTTTGAGAGAATATTCTTGTATTGAGAACCCATAGGCCATAGTTATGCTTCAATGCTAATATATTATTTTGGGTACATTATTATTAAATTGGAGTGTGATAAACGATGAATTATGGATGTCATTAGCACACTTTGACCTACTGATTATATTTAAAGTTGAATTATATACTAGGATTAAGGAACATAGGATTAGATTAGTGGTTAATTTGCTGTTCCAGCTACTTAATGATACATTTAAGTGGCCCTAAGAATAAGTATTCTAGTTCTAGTACTATGTATAATTGATTCCTCAGCTAAGGGCACATGTAGTTGTATAAACTATCCTAGGGTGTTGAAGCAACATTTCGTTCAAAACGTATCTGTTTTTAGCTACTTATATTAAATAGTAACGAATAACAAATATGTTAAAACAATAAGCTTTGAACCCAAAATCAAATAATTACTTATTATTTATGTAAATAACATTTGCTCTACTTTAACATAATAAAATACATTTTTCCTTTTAATTAGTTAAAAAAAGAGTAATACATTTTTTATTTCATAAATATTTAATAACACTAGCATTGTGGATCTTTAAAGTGTAACTTTTCATTATTTTCTATTTCTGTGGATCTTAAAAGTTCTATAGAAAATAGTAACAACTAATTATATATTCGAGTTTAGAAATAAAAAATACAAACTAGTATTGATAGTTAGTGGCATTTTGGTAGTTTATAGGTGTTTGGATGGCAAAAATGAAAGTTTGGTCGACACGTTATTATTGAAGGATATTTTGAGGTGAAAATATCTAGAGGCTTGAACCTGCCACCAGAGGAAGTCCACGTCATCAGCCAGCTAACGAAGATATTTTTATGGCTGACCAAATAGTCTATGTGGCAAGGAATAAAAACAGTCTCTTTGCATTTTTTTAATTTGTTTTCGATCTTTATTCGGCGTTCGATTTGGTATTTATATTAAAGTTTGATTAGTATTTTCTATCAAGGATTGAGATGAGAAAAACGAGATTGAACTAGATTAGACATATATCGAAGAATGAGTGTACCAATAAGAAGGTGTGAAGATATTAATTGTAACAAATTTTATTAGAGGTACAAATAAGTCGAGAGTACAAATGACACATCTTCAAAATAAGAAGGTATGAAAATCGAATATTTTAGTATGAATAGTAAATAATCGAATATTGTCAAATTTCATTGTGGAAGAAGTGAGGGATCAACTTCCTATTCTCATCTTCTCTTTATTTAGTAAATATTTGATTAGTACACACGTAGTATCTTATTCTTTAATTTTTCATTATTGCATGTTGCTTTATTTGCTTTATGTATCTTGATATTTATTAACGTTATTTTTTTTAATTCTGCTTTGGTTACGCTTTTGGAATTTCACTGCAATGTCAATTTTTTTTTAAAAAACTTGTTTTAGTTTGGTAAGTTTTTTTTGTTGAAATTGAAAAATTACAAAAGAAAGTAATTTTCAAAAAAAAAAATCCTTTTCAAATTAGGTTTCAATAAATAAGTTAGTATGTTAATATTTTAATTTTCTTAATCTAGAATTAATTAGTATGTTATTTTTTAAAAAAATAGAACACAAAAGTTAACAAGAACCAATTGTAATTCGACACCTAAAAGATTCATATTCTAAAATAATATCACTCACATTTTTCACATATTAGGGACCATAATATATTTCTTTGGTCCAAGGCACAATTCATACATATTGTTTTCAATCTACTTTTCTTGAGCATGCACATGGGATGTTCCCACTGACATCCATATCACTTTATAACAATTACAACGTACTTGGTGCACTTTCACTTATCAAATTTCTGCGATTCGGAATTTCCAAAATAAAATGACTGAAATTTTTCGTGGACGTCCAAATCATTCCGTGGAGAAAACGAGCGCATTTTAAATTTCAAATAAGCCTCAAAGCAGGTAAATACAGATTTTACAGATTTTCGTATGGTATAGTCTATAAAATATTTATGACCGTAATTACCAAAACAAAATGACTGAAATTTTTCGTGGATGTCTGTTATAACATTAGCAATATATCCAGTTTATCTTGTGGTTAAAACTTTCAATGTATCCACTCCGTCTTGCGGCGAAAGTTGGCGCCTTCTCAAGTTCGAACGATCCCAAAAGCAGGTAAACACAAATTTTATCAATTTTCGTGTGTTATAGTCCATGAAATTTTTGTTTCAAAAATCTCAAAACAAAATGGTAGAAATTTTTTGTGGACGTCCCTTAAGATGTTGGCAATGTATCCAGTTCGTCCCGCTAGGAAAACAGACGCATTTTCAAGTTAAAATGAGCATCCAAGTATCTAAACGCATATCTTGCCGATTTTTGTGTGCTATAGTCCATGAAATTTTTGTGACTCAAAATTTACGAAAATAAAATGGCCGAAATTTTTCGTGGACGTCCATTAAGACGTTGGCAATGTATGTGGACGCACAAGGAAAATGGGCGCATTTTCATGTTTAAACGAGACCAAAAGTAGGTACACATATTTTGCCGATCTTCATGTGCTATAATTCATGGAATTTTTGTGATCCGGTATTCTCAAATCAAAAAGCCCAAAAATTTTTGTGGACACTCGGTAAGACGTTGGCAGTATATCAAGTTCGTCTTGCGGGTTTTCAATTTCAAACAAGCCCCAAAGCAAGTTTACGCAGATTTTTTGTCATTTTTTGTGTGTTATAGTCCATGGTTTTTTTGTGATCTGAAATTGCCGAAACAAATGGCCAAAAATTTTCGTGGACGTCCTTTAAGACGTTGGCAATGTATCCAATTCGTCCTGCGGGGAAAAAGGGCGCATTATTGAATGTTCAAATAAGCCCCAAAGCAGGTAAAAACAGATTTTCGTGTGCTATAGTGTATGGTGTTTTTATTATCCGAAATTTCCAAAACAAAATGGTCGGAATTTCTCATGGACGTCCGTTAAGATGTTGACAATTTATCCAGTTTGTCTCGCGGGGAAAACAAGCGCATTTTCAAGTTCAAACGATCCCCAAAGCAAGTAAATGAAGATTTTGTTCATTTTTGTGTGCTATAGTCCATGGAATTTTTGTGATCGGGAATTCCCAAAATAAAATGACCAAAAATTTTCTTGCACGCCCTTAAGACGTTGGCAATGTATCCAGTTCATCCCGGGGAAAATGGGTGATTTTCAAGTTCATACGAGCACCAACGCAGGTAAACACATATTTTGTCAATTTTCATGTGCTATAGTCCATGGAATTGTTTTTATTCGGAATTTCGTAAACAAAATGGCCAAAATTTCTTATGGGCGTCCTTTAAGACGTTGACTATGTATCCAATTTGTCTTGCAGGGAAAATGAGCGCATTTTCAAGGTCACACCAGTCTCAAAGCAGGTAAAAGAAGATTTTGACGATTTTCGTGTTTTACAACACATGAAAATCCGTAAAATATGTCTTTACCTACTTTTGGCTTGTTTAAACTTGAAAATGCACCATTTTTCCTCGCGAGATGAATTGATTCCATTTCTAAGGTCTTAATGGATGTCCCAAAAAAATTTGGTCATATTTCGAATAAAAAAATACATGGACTATGTCACACGAAAATCGGTAAAATCTGTGTTTGCCTGCTTTGGGGCTCGTTTGAACTTGAAAATGCATCATTTTTTCCCACAGGATGAACTAGTTCCATTTCTAATATCTTAACAAACGTCCATCAAAATTTTTGGTCATTTTGTTTCGAGATTTCTGGATTAAAAAAATAAATGGGTTGTAGCCCACGAAAATCAGTAAAATTTCCTTTTACCTGCTTTGGAGCTCGTTTAAACTTTAAAATGCACCATTTTTTCTCACACTTAACAAATGTAGATAAAAACTTCCACGCTCTTCATTAATATAATTATTTATTGCCGCTAAAAGTAATCTAAATTCACACTTATAAGGAGGACCAGAAGCTAGTGACTAAAGAATAAATAAAAAATTAAGTGTAATAACTTCTGGAAGTTGGTCATTAATATTTTAGATCAATAAATTGACTTTGTAGGTTTGATTTATTTAAATATATAAAGCCTAAAAGCTACTACTAATATATTTTGTTCAATTTTAAAAATTACTAATGATATTAGTTAGTCAATAATAATAGCAATCAATTATTCTTTTAGAATATTGAAATAATATTGTTCATTCTTATAGACAAAATATTCACTAATATTAGTTCTCTTCCCTTCTATTCTACAACTTGGTCCATCGCTACATAGTTCGGCTATTGATTGCCATTTATTTGATTTGATTGACACTTTTTTAAGTTCCCTACTTTTATTTTATGTCTTTATTTGTCTTCTCTTTGCACAAAAATCATTCTTTGAATTTTGGAGGAAAAAAAAAGAAAACTAAAAATGGACACAAATCAAGAAATTGCATTGATACAAATGAGGAAATCAATTGAAAAGCTGGGATCTTCAATTGAAGTAAGAAAAAAAGACCCCCATTTTCCCTTTTTAGTGTAAAGTTTAAATCTTTATAATCATTTTTTTCAAAAATAAAAATAAAAATATCCCTTTTCTTCTAATAGTGTAAAGTTCAAATCTTTGTACTAATAATCAGTTCTTCTTTAGAAAAGAAAATGCATAATACAAGAACTTCTTGTTTAAGTCAACCTCAACTGATATCTATGTGCTTTAACTCTGATTTGCTATCTAGATACGATATAGAATTAAACAAATAGATAAATTTATTTTATGTGATGTCCTGCTGGATAATTTTTTGTCCTTTGTAGCTTTCTACGCGTATTATGTCACGTCATATAAATTTAACTGTTTAGTAAAAGTTTGAGGATATAAATGCTAATTTGAAATCAACTTAAAAAGAGCATATTTATGTATTATGTCTAAAGAAAATGCTCCATTTTTTGTTGTTGTAGAGTTATGGAGATAAGACATTGATGAGGTTCTTGATTGCAAGATCAATGAACCCAGAGAAAGCTGCTAAGATGTTTTGTCAGTGGAAAAAATGGAGGGCTGAGATGGTTCCACTTGGTTACATCACTGATTCTGAAGTTGCAGATGAAGCAGTAGCTGAAAAAGTTTATTTACAAGGATTGTCCAAGAATGGATATCCTGTTTCAATAATCAAACTTAGCAAACATTTTCCTTCCAAGTATCAAGTTCAACTCAAGAGTAAATTTTTTTTTCCCTTTTAGAGCAAATCTAAGATTCTTTTTTGTTTTTGTTTGTTTATTCACTATATTGCATTCTGATGTTTTTGAATAGTCCATGATTGTTCATCTTGTTTGTGTTTTTTTTATGAGATATATGCTGGTTGGTTCTCTCAATGATGGGTTTTATCTTTTATTGTCTTGCTAATGGGCCATTGGTCAAGTTTAATTAGACAATCTTGTGTGGTAAGGTCTGCGTACACTCTAACCTCTCTAGACTCCACTTTGTTGGATTTCAGTAGGTATGTTGATGTTGTCGTCTCTCCGTTTCTATAGGATGAAAATGATAACTCTCAACTATAGTGCTAGTATTGACACATTCACCTCTTATGCAGAATATGTGGTTCATCTACTAGACAAGACAATTGCAAGGTATCATTTTTATTCAACTATGTTTATGTACTTACCAACTCGTGGGTTCTTTGTCTATCGTGATATATCTTTTGTACTGACAATCATGGTTCTGTTTCTAACTTGGACCTCCTCTGTGCTCGTTTCAGTTCGTTCAATGGTAGAGAAATAGGGGATGAGAAACTTATTGGAATTCTTGATCTCCAGAATATTACCTATAGCAATGTTGATGTTCGTGGAATGATCACTGGTTTTCAGTTTTTACAGGTAATCCCCTTGTCTTTCTATAGTGCGCAAACCATTAGAAGTATAGAGACGCAGATAACCAGTGTTATGTAAAGATACATAATTCTTGTACCATGGACTCTCTTATCAGCTATAAGAAAGTTTAGAGAGTCGAGATTAACAGCTTAGTAGAAGAACTCACTATACTATGTATGTAGCTGCAGCTGGTATTGAACTCTCACATCTGAACTATAGTTCAGGCTTAGGTTTGCTTGCACTATGACCACAATATTGCTCGAAATCTTCAAACGTATTGTTAGGTGTGTGTCTGATCCTGCTAGAGCTATGTTTTTTTTGGAGGATCCGACATGGTTGCTGCAACATTTTTGGAGGTCTGAGCAACATAGCTATGAGGTGCCATTGATGTAACATATAGTTTCGATATGCTCCACTAACTTAAATTTTGGTCTAGATTGTTGCTCTTCTTAAGTTCTTGAATCTTGGTTTAGATAAATAAGGAGCAATCTATGTTGCTCGAACTTTCTAAAAATGATGTGGCACCCGTGGAAAACCCTCCACAAATGCACTCCGTTTGAATGATTTGACGCTGGTGCACACCCAATGACATTGGAATGCTAATACATATAGTTTAGTTCTTTATATTCCATGTGTTATATTGATTCTGCCAGCTACATTTCACAATTTCTTTCTACAGGCATACTACCCTGAGCGCTTAGCGACTTGTTACCTTTTACACATGCCACAATTCTTCGTCACCATATGGCGATTTGTTGTCGCTTCCTTGACAAAGCAACTCAACAGAAGGTACGTCAGTGTGCATAGAGTGATGTTATGTTTAACACAATGCACGTGTATAGTCTTCGTTTCTAATATCAAATTACTACACAGATGAGGATTGTCATGAGTGAAGAACAGAAGGAAGAGTTCATCCGAGAGGTCGGTGAAGACGTCTTACCGGAGGAGTATGGAGGGCGTGCTAAACTTGTACTTTTGCAGGATGTTGTTGTGAACTTCTAACACAAACACAAAGTAGAGAAATAATAGAAATGTGAAATAAGATGAAAAAGAATAGCTTCATAAAAATACTACTTTTACAAGATGGGGTGTGGCCCATACTGAGCATGGGCTCAACATGTTTAATTCATATTTAGAAATAAAAAAAAATTTACTTAATTACATAAACTTAATAACATAAATTTTACTAGTTTAGAAGTTAATTAATTATTAATCTTCTCGTGCTTGGATTTCTAATTATGTATATCTAAATATGAAATGTAACTGAAACTCTAATGATATATCATTTTCAGTAAGTATCATCGACGAAAAGCTAAACTGATCAGAAAGTAGTTTTGGTAATAAAAATGTGGGAGAGTAATTATTAGGCACAATAGAGAGTGGGTTGATTTTGAGTGAAAGAGTAAATTAGAGAGATAATTAAGTGGATACGGAAAAAGTATCACAGATTTACTGGTAGGTAAAAGAAAATATAAATGTTTTAAATAATTTGTACTTGGAAATGTATTCAATTGATAAATTTGATGGGTCATTTGGTGCGTGGTATAATAATTATAATAATTTTGAAATTAATTTTATGAAATATCTTATTTAAAGTATTATGTAATCTTGTGTTGGTAGAATTCATCTTACATAAAAGGTACCTTAGAAATATTATTATGCATCTCATTTCATATATCAAACCACTGAGTAAGAAAAAATTAGATTAATCCATTCAAACTCCTAATAATAGCACCAGCGATAGACATAAAGACGTAAAATAAATAAAGATTTTGAGTGTTAAAACTTCTTTTAAGTTGGTCATTAATATTTTAAATAAATAAACTGGCTTTTTAGGTAAGTGATTAATGAGGTTTGACTTATCTATGCCTATATCATAATCATAATTTGAAATTTCAATTTACAGTTTCTAGATAATTTGAAATTTGAAATAACAATTTCAAATCATATACCAAGAATCAGTTTAAAATCATGACATGTGCAAATATCTAATATTAATAATAACTCACTAGTAGCCCCTTAAAATTAGCATAATATTTATTTAGACACTTTAATTGGATGAAGTTCATCTCATGTAGAATCTCGTTATGTCATTAGACATAATATTCGATAATGTCTTTGCTACATATTAAAGGAGTCTTTTCATATTTTCATTAGCCAAACGAAAATTCATACTACAATAATAATAAGAACGATCTTAATATGAAATAAATAAGATTATTTTCATATTAGTCAATGAAAAGTAATAGTTAGATCAACTTTATTGCGTGTTTGAGTGTTGACCATATCAAGAAATTTTATCTCTAGAAATTAATGCATGTTGCGGATATTGAGATGAATGTGTGATCATTTCGATTGTCACGTAATTTTATTGTTGTTCTAGCTATTTTTACATTGTTTCATTTTTCAATCTCTCTTCATTGTCTTCATCTCCAAAATATCAAAATTGTTGCACTTGAGATGACAGTTTTTCAGAAACCGTTTTTCTACTTTCATGAAGCAATAGTAACGTCTGCATATATTTTAACCTTTGGAGATCTCATTTGTAAGATTTCAGTGAGTATGTTATTAGTGAGCATGTTATTGTTGACGGAATAATTCTAAACAAAATAAATAAAAGTGAAATAACATTAAAGAAATAATAAAGGAAATTCATGTCATATCCACATACACCACACTTCTTCTCTTGTATTCCATAAAAGCTTGGTCCCTTTCTACATGTTTTGGCCAAACAGTTTGGCCATTCATTGTCATTTATGAGACCTCAATTTCTACCAACGTTTTTCTTTGTGTATTTCTTTCCCAAAAACTTTCAACTTCACAGCAAAAACCATTCTTTTGAAGTTTGGGAGTGGGGAGAAGAAAACTGAAAATGGACAGAAATCAAGAAATTGCATTGGCTAAAATGAGGAAATCAGTTGAAAAGCTTGGATCTTCCACTGAAGTAAGAAAAAAAGACCCCCATTTTCCCCTTTTAGAGTAAAGTTCAAACAAATGATCCCCTTTTCCTCTTTTAGTATAAAGTTCAAATCTTTGTAGTAATAAAAGACACTTTTTTTCTCTTTTAGTGTAAAGTTCAAATCTTTGTAATGATAATCAGTTCTTTTTCAAAAAACAAATGATCCCCTTTGTCCTCTTGTAGTGTAAAGTTCAAATCTTTGTAGTGATAAAATGACACCCTTTTCCTCTTGTAGTGTAAAGTTCAAATCTTTGTAGTGATAAAATGACACCCTTTTCCTCTTCTAGTGTAAAGTTTAAATCTCTGTACTGATAATCAGTTTTTGTTGCTGTTGTTGTAGAGTTATGGAGAGAAGACATTGATGAGGTTCTTGATTGCAAGATCAATGAACCCAGAGAAAGCTGCTAAGATGTTTTGTCAGTGGAAAAAATGGAGGGCTGAAATGGTACCACTTGGGTACATACCTGATTCTGAAGTTGCAGATGAATCAGCAGCTGAAAAAGTATATTTACAAGGATTGTCCAAGAATGGATATCCTGTTGCTATAATCAAACTTAACAAGCATTTTGCTTCCAAGGATCAAGTTCAATTCAAGAGTAAATTCTTTTCTCTTATGAGTAAAAGCTTCTTCTTCTTCTTTTTAATTATTGGCTATATTGCATTATCATGTTTTTGAATAGTCCATGATTGTTCATCTGGTTGGTTCTCTCAATGATGGTTTTTTATCTTTTATTGTGGACAAGTTGTTAATTTAGATAATCTTGTAGTCCCTCCGTTTCAATTTGTTAATTTGGTTTTGATTTGATAGGGAGTTAAAAGATAGTAAAGAAGTTTGGTGGTCAATATATCAAAATGTTTTTCTAAATCTAGTGATTTTTAAAGATGTTGAAAAGCTGAAACTAAAAAGTTGCAAAAAGAAAAAAAGAAAAAGTAGAGAGACATTGACTAGTAAGGGGATTTCTTGAATAAATCCTTCTCAATTCTTCTTCTTTATGTAGGATGCTAATGATTACTCTTAACGGTTAAGTTAGTATTGACACATTTGCCTCTTATGCAGAATTTGTGGTTCATGCACTAGACAAAACAATTGCAAGGTACAATTTATCTGACGCAATAGATTTAATACTATATTATAATGTAACCTGGAAAATTTATGTTTCAGAGGTTTTGTGACATCGACTAGCAGTTCCTTATCTATTCCTCTCTCGAAATTATGTTTTATGTACTGAGAATCATGGTTTTGTGTATAACTTGGACCTCTTTTCTGCTTGTTTCAGTTCATTCAATGGTAGTGAAATAGGAAATGAGAAACTTATTGCAATTCTTGATCTCCAGAATATTACCTATAGCAATGTTGATACTCGTGGATTGATCACTGGTTTTCAGTTTTTACAGGTAATCTCCTTGCCTTTCAGAAAACCAGTTTTCACACGTAGTCCTTTCCCTTTCAAAAGTGCGCAAACCATTACTATAGAGAGACATTACCAGTGTTGTGAAAAGAAACACTATAAGATAGTTCAAAGAGTCGAGATTAGCAGCTTAGTAGAATAACTCACTAGACAAGCTTTGGTTTGCTTGCACTATGAGACAATGTTGCTCAGACTCTTCAAACTTACTGTCATGTATGTGTCTGATCTCCAAAAGTGACGCTTTTTTTGAAGGATCCGACATGGTTGTAGGAACATTTTTAGAGGTTCTGAACAACATAGTTGTAACGTAATAGTTTGGATATGCTCTACTAACTAATCTCTGAAAATTTTGGTCAAAATTGTTTCTCCTCTTAAGCTCTTGAATCTTGATTTAGACAAATTAGGACCAATCTCTGTTGCTCGGACTTTCTAAAACTGATGTGGCACTCGTGACAGACCCTCCAAAAATGCACTACATTTGAAAGATTAATGTTCATTTCTCTATAAATTATTTTGATGCTGCTAAGCTACATTTCACACAATTTCTTTGTACAGGCATACTACCCTGAGCGCTTAGCTACTTGTTACATTTTACACATGCCACAATTCTTTGTCACCGTATGGCGATTTATATGTCACTTCATTGATAAAGCAACTCAACAGAAGGTACGTCCGCGTTGTATAATTTTCCATCCGATGATGTAACACGTTTAACAAAAATGCATGTTTAAGTGTATAGTCTTTGTTTCTAATATCAAATCACTACACAGATGAGGATTATCATGAGTGAAGAACAGAAGCAAGAGTTCATCCGTGAGGTCGGCGAAGATGTCGTACCGACGGAGTATGGAGGGCGTGCTGAACTTGTACTTTTGCAGGATGTTGTTGTGAACTACTAACACAAAGTAGAGGAATAATAGAAATGTGAAATAAAATGTAAAAGAAGAGCTATATAGACATACTACTATTTATGTTACTAATACCAAATGGGTCATTTGGTCTGTGGCCCATACGGGCTCAACATAGGGGAACTACTTAATTATATAAACATAATAACACAGGTCTACTAGTTTAGGGTTAATTACTTGTCTTTTCATGAGTTTTTGATATTACAATTTAAGTCATATTTTTGGTACTGAGTTATATATTTATCGTGTCTTGATATACGTATCTCGTATATATGTTAAAGAGATATATTTAATTATGTGTATCTAAATATAAATGGTAATTGAAATGCATCAATTTAGTAGTAAACGTAGATGTCTATTATATTACTGATTTAAAAAGGAATGATAAAAAAAATCAATGTTAACATCATTTGAAATCTTTCGAGTGCACCTAATCAAATACATATTTTGACAAGGCATAATACATATATTGATTCTAAATTTCGTTTCAAATTTTAACTATATTACTGCTTTAAAAAGGAATGATAAAAAAAATCAATGTTAACATCATCTGAAATCTTTTAAGTGCACCTAATCAAATACATATTTTGACAAGGCGTAATACATATATTGGATTTTAAACTTGGTTTCAAATTTTAACTATGACTTCCAATTTTCATAATGAACAAACAGAGACTTTAACTATTCAACATTAAATAAATAAACACATGAGTCCTACATGACTAGGACACCACGTAGGACAAAAAATGACATGTAGAATGATATGTAGGACATGTGTGTCTATTTGTTCAACTTTATACAAGTTTAAGTGTCTACTTGTGCACATCTAAAATTGAAGGGCATAAATATAATTCGAAGTCAAGTTAAAGGGCAAATTTATGTATTATATTTTTTGACAACCGTCTCTCCTCCTTCACCCTCCTATGTTTTTCTTTAGTTAAATGAAATTTAAGCCCTACAAAAAAATGGTTATTCAAAAAAGATTAAAATAGTTAATTTTACTAACTCACATAAACATAATTTGGTTTATGTATTTGTCATTTGGTTTGCTCTGTGGTGTATCTACTATGTATCTAAGTTGTGCTAATGATGTATCTAAGAATTTTGAGTTATACATATTATATATAAAATGTATGTAAGCTCATGCATCTGTTGATTCTAGTATATATGTATATAATATATACTTTATGTATATGAAATCATGTATCTGTTGATTATTTCATATATTTGTTATCTTGTCTAGTTAATAACATAGTGAATTATTTTACATCTATATTTAGTTTAATGTCACAAAATCATCTACTAAATAAAATAAGTTTAATAATAACAATAATATTAAAAAAAAATAGTAAAGGAAAATTCATTAACAAACAAATCCAACTGTTATAGCCTCACCACTTCTTCTCTTCTACTCCATTACTTCATTGGTCTTCTCCCTCATGTTTTAGCCATTAATTTCTACTTCTTTGATTTGACACAATCTTTTGAGTTTTCTAACTTTTTCTATTTGTGTCTTTCTTCCCCAAACATTGAACTTTATACTTTATAGAGAAAAAAATCAGTCTGAAATTTTTCTTCTCATTCCACAAAAACCATTCTTTTTAAGTTGGGAAGAAAACCTGAAAAATGGACAGAAATCAAGAAATTGCATTGACCCAAATGAGGAAATCAGTTGAAAAGCTTGGATCTTCCACTGATGTAAGAAAAAAATGACCCCCTTTTGCCTCTTTTAGTGTAAAGTTCAAATCTTTGTACTGATAATCAGTTCTTTTACAATGAACCCCTTTTCCCTTTTTAGTGTAAAGTTCAAATCATTGAAGTGATTGCTCTTTTTTTGTGGGGGGGGGGGGGGAAAGTTGACCCCTTTTCCTCTTTTAGTATAAAGTTAAAATCTTTGTATTGATAGTTCTTGTTTTGAAAAAAAATGACCCCCTTTTCCTATGTTAGTGTAAAGTTCAAATCTTTGTACTGAAAATGAGTTTTTTGTTGTTGTTGTAGAGTTATGGAGAGAAGACATTAATGAGGTTCTTGATTGCAAGATCAATGGACCCAGAGAAAGCTGCAAAGATGTTTTGTCAGTGGAAAAAATGGAGGGCTGAGATGGTTCCACTTGGTTACATCTCTGATTCTGAAGTTGCAGATGAATTAGCAGCTGAAAAACTTTATTTGCAGGGATTGTCCAAGAGTGGACACCCTATTATGATAGTCAAAGTTAACAAGCATTTTCCTTCCAAAGATCAAGTTCAATTCAAGAGTAACTTCTTTTACCTTTGAGTAAAGTTTATTTTATGTTTTTATATCCTGCTGACTTTTGAGAGGTTAGAAGTGTTGATGTTTGGCCAAGTTTCTTAGAGAAAATAAGTGTTTTTGCGAAGTAGCATAATCTATAAACATCTTTGAAAAAGACACTTTCCAGAATAAGTTATTTTAGAAGTTGGCCAAATAGGCTTATACTCATAGATTGCATTATGATTTTCTTGGTTAGTCCATGGCTGTTTATCTTGTTTGTGTTTTTCTGATAAGAAATATTCTGGTTGGTTGCCTCAATGATGCCTTTTTATCTTTTATTATCCTGCTAATGGGCCATTGTACAACAGGTTCTTTATTTAAACAATATTGTAGTTAGTTGTTTCTTTCTTGGACTTGACTTCTTGTCGTTGGGCGATCAGCCGATCACTTGATACATGGATTTTGTTATAAATAGCTACTTTCATGGAGTTACCGTGAAATTTGCAACTCCATGAATAGTTAGTTTTCAAAGATATGATCGAAAAGTGGCCAGTGGACACTATCTCTAACCTTGATATCTGATAACTCCCAAAGGGAATCTCCAGCAGGAAAATAGTTTTCTTTCAAGCACTTAAAAATCACTAATCCTTGTGGCCAATAATATATTATTGAAAGGGATACCATGTGTAATGGTGATTGATTATGTTTATTTAATTATAAGTTGCTTTGTGTGGAGAAGCTGTGGGGATACACACTGCTAACTAATATCTAACCAGCTGTAATGTTTAAAATAAAACAAAACTGATCCATAATAGTTGATATCTGCAAGAAGAGGTGGCAAATGGACGGAATGGGTCAAACTTGAGTAGATTAATGCGCGTCAAATTAATACACGGGTCATGAGTCAAATAATGGGTTGTAGGCTAACCATACTCTAGGTGAACTTCCTACTTGGTGAAATAAAAGTAAAAAAGGGATATGCGGAACTCATAAATTCCGGGACATTCTTTTTTATTATTATTATGGAACATTGGCCAATGCATTTAAAGGGACAAACAGCAACGATCTAAAGTGTTTATCAAGTTGCAATCTGGTAAATGATTCATTTACCATATCTCGTTCTCTCACATGCACCCTAGCTACTCTGGTAATATAAATGATTTTTTTTGTGGTGACTGGTAAGAGGATTTCTTGAATAAATCCTTTTCAATTCTTCCTTCTGATTGCTCTTAATGATAAAGTTAGTATTGACACATTCACTTCTTATGCAGAATTTGTCATTCATCTACTAGACAAAACCATTGCAAGGTATCATTTTCATCCAACCACGTTGTTCTTTGACTATTTGGAACATTTACTTTGCTTTACGTGAATCAAAGTGTCTGTTTTGAGCAAGCGATTGATAGAAAGAGGAAATGAGAGGGGTTTATGCTGATATTTCTATCATTAATATTTGATGCAATAGATTTGACATTGTTGTATTATGTAACCTGGAAATTTTATATTTGGGAGGTTTTGTAACTTTGACTCGAGGGTTCAGCAGCTATTCCTCTCTTGGAATATGTTTTTCTACCGAAAATCATGGTTCTATTTCTAACTTAGACCTCTTTGTGATTGTTTCAGTTCATTCAAAGGTAGGGAAATAGGAAATGAGAAACTTATTGGAATTCTTGATCTCAAGAATATTACCTATAGCAATGTGGATACTCGTGGATTGATCACGGGTTTTCAGTTTTTACAGGTAACCCCTTTGCCTTTCTATAGTATGCAAACCGTTAGTACTGAGACACACATAAACAATGTTGTGAAAAGATACATGATTCTTGTACCATGGACAACGTTATACGTCTCTTGTGAGCTTAGTCTAACAGCTTAGTAGAACAACTCACTAAACTCTGTATGTAGCTAGTATTGAACTCTCACATTTGAGCTATAGTTAAGGGTTTAGTTTGCTTGCACTATGAGACGATGTTGCTCGGACTCTTCAAAAAAAATGCACTAGTTTTGGAGTATCTGATGCGCACCCGATGACATTTTGAAGAGTAAGCAATATACTGAACAAATTGTTGAAGGCTGCACATAAATGTTGATATGTTCTTTATACTAATGCTGCTAGCTTCATCTCATTCATTTCTTTCTACAGGCATACTACCCTGAGCGCTTAGCGACTTGTTACCTTTTACACATGCCACAATTCTTTGTCACCATATGGCGATTTGTTTGTCGCTTCCTTGAAAAGGCAACTCGAGATAAGGTACGCCTGTGTGCATAATATTCCATCTAGCGATTACAAAATGCACGATTTAAACAAATAGTCTTCCAGTCTATCAACTTCCAACTGTTTCTAATATCAAATACTACACAGATGAGGATTGTCACGAGTGAAGAAGAAAAGGAAGAGTTCATTCGAGAGGTCGGTGAAGACGTCTTACCGGAGGAGTATGGAGGGCGCGCTAAACTTGTACTTATGCAGGATGTTGCTGTCAACTACTAACACAAAGTAGAGGAATCTATAAATGTGAAACAAGATGAAAAAGAATAGCTTCATAGACTTACTATTTATGTTACTAAAAGTTTTACTTATTTAACCTTTTAAGTCATATACTAGATGGGCTATGGCCTACAGCGCACGGGCCCAATATATTTAATTTTGGTAAAATTATATAATTAGATTTACAATAGTTTCAATTTACTACGTATTTTATAACTAATGAAAAGTTAACTACTATATATTGAAGAAAATATTTACTACCAGATACTCAACAAGTGAGATTCGAATGTATCTCAAGTACATATAAATAAATGTTATGTTGTTTTAGTGGCGCATTTGTAGCGACGAATGTTGCCACTAAAACTTACTAATCACACTTAAATCATAGTTGACCTTTTAAGTTCATTACTGCCAAACAAACAAATAATAATGAAGTAAATTTAAAAGGCAAAAATGAGTTTTTCACTATAGGATAAAGCAATATAAATGTTGTTCTAAAACAATTCAGTCAAACATGATAAAATGAATTATTAAATTGCATTACATTATAATATTAAACTTATTTTTCTAGTATTTTAGAGCTAAATTTATGATGAAGACATTAGTGGCACCTAGGGAAGAGGGACCAAATTAAAAAATATATAGATATGATATGTGACCTTTGTTAAAATTCTCTTTTTTTTAAGTAACCAAATTCCAAAGCTACTATTTAAACATGTAATGTTTATTTACAAACATATAGTTTTAAAAGATTATCAGCTACTTTTATTCTGCTAACCTAAAAAAGTCCTACATTGAATATTTCTCTATATTTTCTGCTGGAATAAAAATGTCTTATAGGACTAAAAAAAAACTCATAGAATACCTTATTGTAAATTCAGCCAATCATTTGGAAAGAGTCAGGTTGAAGTATGGTTAGTTGAATATCACAGAAATATATTTGGATTTTTTTATGACTATAAGTTAAAAAGATGTAATTATTTTTAATAACATAAATAGTATGCATAATACATAAACAGACATTCGAAATTGATTTCAACTGAAGTGCAATGTAAGAATGCTTCAACTTACAAAATGAATATCTAAAACACTTCCAAAATTTATGTCACGTCAAGGTAGGGTGTCCATGAGACAGTGGGGACAAGTTGGAGTGTTTAGTTGCCAATTGAGACCAAGTTGAAATGTCTCTCAAAGTAGGAGTGCTTACTTGCCAGCTGAGCTCAAACGTGAGTGATATTTTATGTGTTATGAGTAATTAGTATGTCTAAGAAGGTATTCGTTTTCATCTTATTTCACATTTTTTTTGTTCTTCTACTTTGTGTTAGTAGTTCACAGTAACATTCTGCAGAAGTACAAGTTTAGCGCGCCCTCCATACTCCTCTGGTAAGACGTCTTCGCCAACCTCTCTGATGAACTCTTGCATTTGTTCTTCACTTGTAACAATCCTAACCTGTGTAGTGATTTTGATATTAGAAACGAAGACTATACATCTACACGTGCATTTTTGTTAAGCGTAACATGATCTGATGGGCTATTATGCACAGTGACGTACCTTCTCCTGAGTAGCTTTATCAAGGAAGCGACAAACAAATTTCCATACGGTGACAAAGAATTGTGGCATGTGTAAAAGGTAACAAGCAGCTAAGCGCTCAGGGTAGTACGCCTATAGAAAGAAACTGAATATTATATCAGCATTCCAATGAGGACTTCGATAATTTGTTCATGTTATATATTACTTCCCTATGTAGCCCGGACTCTTAAAATAGGTAACCGGGAGCATGTCAGGGTTAAATCCTTCAAAAACAAAACATTTTTGGAGGGTTTGCCACATGTGCCACATCATTTTTTGGAAGTCCGAGCAACACAAATTGCTCCTAATTTGTCTAAATCAAGATTCAAGAGCTTAAATGGAGCAACACTACTGACCAAAATATCCAAACTATTCGTTACATCATCTCATAGCTATGTTGCTTAGACCCTCCAAAAATGCTGCCACAACTATGTCGGATCCTCCAAAAGAGCATAGCTCTAGGAGGATCAGACACATACCCGACAATATGTTTCAAGAGTCTGAGAGATGTGTGTCATAGTTCAAGCAAATCAAGCCTTAACTATAGCTTAGATGTGAGAGTTCAATACCAGCTGCAGCTACATACATTATACATAGTCTAGTGACATCTTCTACTAAGCCGTTAATCTCAACTCTTTGAACTGTCTTATAGATGACAAGAGACGTATAACATTGTCCGTGGTACAAGAATCACGTATCTTCTCATAACTCTGGTTATGTGTCTCTATACTTATGGTTCGCATACTATGGAAAGGCAAAGGAGTTACCTGTAAAAACTGAAAACCAGTGATCAGTCCACGAAGATCAGCATTGTTATAGGTAATATGTTGGAGATCAACAACTCCAATAAGTTTCTCATTTCCTGTTTCTCTACCATTGAACGAACTGAAACAAGCACAAAGAAGTCAAGTTAGAAACTAAACCACGATTCTCAGCACAAAAAAACATATTTGGAGAGGGAAAATAAGAAACCGGTGACCAACCACGCACATATGAGGCCTCTATGATTTCCCAGATGAAGCCTACAGGCTAAATTTCCTACATTTAGATCCAAGGTGATAATTTAATGTTCTTAACCAAATGAAATTCTTCTCCGATGAGGATATGACCCTTAGGCCTAACTCAACCCTTATGGAGAATTGCTCAAGTTCAATAGTGCCTATAATATTACGACGTAACTAGTGTCTACTCTCTTCTATGTACTGTTCATCCTTCCAACCCTCTTGTTTAGATATCAGTATATCATAAGCAGTTTATCATTTCTTGGACAAGTAAGAGAAGAAAGTTTCTATCATTACTTGGTTCCTCATTGAGTAAGACAGATATCAGAGTGACCAAACAACAAAATGTAAAAGTAACATGTAAAAGGATCTACAATCCCAAATAAGCGCGCAGACACTATCTCCTGAGAGGTTTATCTAGTTTTGAGAAATGAGAATAGTAGGAAAATAACACCGAATAATTTTCCAATTGGTGAAAGAGCAACATGTTGACTGAAAAATTGTACCTTGCAATTGTTTTGTCTAGTAGATGAACCACAAATTCTGCATATAAGAGATGAATGTGTCAATACTAACTTTATCGTTAAGAGTAATCATTAGCATCCTACAGAAAGGCGAAGTAAGAATTGAGAAGGATTCGTTCAAGAAATGCCCTTACCAGTCACCACAAAAAGAATCCATCTACATTAGCAGAGATAAGGGTGCATATGAAAGAAAAAGATACCATGAAATGAATCATTTAACAGACTGCAACTTATGATATCGAATCTCAGAATATCATTTACCAACTTTGCGTTATTGTATATTTTCTACGTCTTTCTGTTTTTCCTATCAAATCGTCACGCTAGCTGTATGTATGGCCATTCATAAATAAATTCTATCACAACACATTAATCATTCGACTACAGAAACAGAAAGAACTTTGTTAAAGCACCAAAAAAAACCAACAATCTATAGTGTTTTATAGCTAGCTACTCAAAATAAGGCATCATTGAGGCAACCAACCAGAATATTGTTTATCAATAAAACACAAACAAGACTAACCAAGACACAAGAACAAAAAATGCAATGTAGTGATTAAAAAAAGAACTTTTACTCTAAAAGGGAAAAGAAATTTACTCTTGAATTGAACTTGATCCTTGGAAGGAAAATGTTTGTTACTTTTAACCATCACAACAGGGTGGCCATTCTTGGATAATCCCTGCAAATAAATTTTTTCAGCAGCTAATTCATCTGCAACTTCAGAATCAGTAATGTACCCAAGTGGGACCATTTCAGCCCTCCATTTTTTCCACTGACAAAACATCTTAGCAGCTTTCTCTGGGTTCATTGATCTTGCAATCAAGAACCTCATCAATGTCTTCTCTCCATAACTCTGAAACAACACAAAAACTGATTATCAGCACAAAGATTTGAACTTTACACTAAAATGGGAAAAGGGGACAATTTTTTTTTAAAAAAAGAATTGATTATTAGTACAAAGATTTGAACTTTTCACTAAAATGGGAAAAGGGGGTCAATTTTTTTTTAAAAAAGAATTGATTATCAATACAAAGATTTAAACTTTACACTAAAATGGGAAAAGGGGATCAATTTTTTTTAAAAAAGAATTGATTATCAGTACAAAGATTTGAACTTTACACTAAAAAGGGAAAAGGGGGTCAATTTTTTATTACTTCAGTAGAAGATCCAAGCTTTTCAACAGATTTTCTCATTTGTGTCAATGCAATTTCCTGATTTGTATCCATTCTTAGTTGTCTGCTTTTTCTTTTTCTTTGCCAATTCAAAAAGAATGGTTATTTTGAGGAGGAGATGACAAAAGGGTACAAAAGCTGATGATGAAGGAGTTGACCAAAGGGGAATAGTAAAAATGTTGACCTTTGATAAACTTAAACCATCAAAACAGTTAATTACCTGTTTTAAGAGACCATCTATTTAGGTTTGATTTAGTTCGATTTAAAATTTATTATCTTGACTTGTTACTAATTAATTTGTACATATTCTATAGTGTTATAGAACCATCAAGATTACGGTTTATCGATTTATCAGTTATTGATATTATTTTATTAATTTAACTATTGATATAATTGTTGAGATTTCGCGCACCATAATTACTTAGAAACAAAATGATTAACTAAATCAACCATATCCATAAAATGAAAGATTGTATCTTGCTTAAAAACAAATATTGATATTTTGTGGGATAAGGGAGAGTTTGAGACCATCAAAAATTAAAGTAGGAAAATAAATTTCTTCAAATTATTAACAATCGATAATATGATATTAAAAAATAAATTAAAACTATTATTGATTCAAGCCTTGTATCGACAATCTTTATCATTAATCCTTTGAGAAAAAGACTATTTTCGAAAGAAGCTCCATTAAAATATGAACAAAAGTGCAAATGCCCTTTGCTTACGTAATTAAGCCAATTTTAAAGTATTTTTTATTAATCTTTTAATAAAACCCTACCTAACTAATTACATTTTGCTTCTTTTTCAACTGACATTTCTTCAATCATTTTCCGCCGCCATTTTACCGCTGCTCCTCACCGGGAAAATGAACACTCCGGCACTTTCTCTCCGTCACAACCATTTCCTCAATGGCAGCTCCGCTCTGGTATCCGGCATTCGTCTACCACGCTCCTCCTCTTCCCCTTTCCGTGTCCGTATGTCTCTCCAGGAAAACGGTCCATCCGTCGCCGTCGTCGGTGTTACTGGCGCCGTCGGTCAAGAGTTTCTATCCGTTCTATCTGACCGTAACTTCCCGTACCGTTCTCTTAAACTCCTTGCTAGCAAAAGATCAGCTGGAAAATCGATGAAGTTTGAGGAACGAGATTATACTGTTGAAGAGCTCACTGAGGATAGTTTTGATGGTATAGATATTGCATTGTTTAGTGCTGGTGGTTCAATTAGTAAGAAATTTGGACCCTTGGCTGCTCAAAAGGGAACAATTGTAGTGGATAATAGCTCCGCTTTTCGGATGGATGAGAATGTGCCTCTTGTGATTCCAGAAGTGAATCCTGAAGCTATGGCACATGTCAAGCTTGGTTCTGGAAAGGGAGCTCTTATTGCGAATCCGAATTGCTCTACTATTATTTGCTTGATGGCTGTTACTCCTCTCCATCGTCGTGCTAAAGTGAGAGTTCGAATTTTTCGTGTTATTCCTAGTACATATAAGATATTAGAGAGTTCGAATTTTTCGTGATTCCTAGTACATATAAGTTATTAGAAGTTATCTATATGATACAATTTATGTGACGTAGTTTGATTAACAATGAGTCTTTTTTCCCGAACTGTGTTGACCTGTTTTTCCTTTGAGCTGAGGGTCTATTGGAATTGAGATCATACTAGGATTGTTGCTGTTGTAGTTTGAATAACAATGAGCTTGTGGTCTAAAATGTTACTGTATATAGCATCTGTGTGTTTTAAGATTTGTTTTTTATGATAAAATTTGGAGATTTTTTGGTATAAAGAACACTTAATTTGAGAATTAGATCATTTGTGTGCGTTTAGTTTGTTTAGAGATTTGTTTGGTCGTAGTGGCGTGGAGAATGTCTATTTGGAGTACGATTGGAGAATAAGATCTTTGATACCCTTTTGGTTTGCTTAGAGATTTGTATGCCAGCAGATAATATAAGGATCTTTAGGGTAATTTGAGGATTAGATTTTTCATGCCCTTTGGAGTATGATAGAACATGCAATGTGAGTGGTCGATAAAGTGGGAAGAGAATTCTAATGTATTAGGTTCAAATCCTAGCGGAGGTGAAAAAGGAAAACACTTGATGATTTCTTCCATCTATCTGGTGTTAGTTTTCAAAATAACTAAGATGGCATTGTTAGATAGGATTATAGGAATGGATGAGAATATTTACATTACCACACAATACTTCACTACTCTTTTTGTTCTTTCTGCTATAACATGAAACTTGAGTGAAAATCTTTTGGCAAGTGTATAAGCATTCAACATTGAAATTTTTTCCATTTTCATTGACATGTATTTATTTCACGTACACATCCGTCTCCATGGTAGTTGTGAAGACCTTCAGAAGTTTTGATCAACCATTAGTAGCTTAAGAACCAAGTCAGTTCACTTTTACTCATCCTGTGTAGATATGCACATTTCCAGGTCAAACGCATGGTTGTTAGTACATATCAGGCAGCTAGTGGTGCTGGTGCTGCTGCAATGGAAGAGCTAGTGCAGCAGACTCGTGAGGTCTTTACTGTGCTTCCTCTATTTTCCATGGTTTAATATATCTAGTGATATTAGGTTTTCTAATTATTACTCTCAATGAATTGACTTTTGTATGTTGCCTTTTAGGTCCTGGAGGGAAAAGAACCAACCTGCAATATCTTTAACCAGCAGGTCCCATCTTGTGATTTACCTCCTCAATGCTCACTTTGTTTCTTTGATAACAAATGAATGCAGATTGCAGTGTCATCTGATTGTTTTTTTTACAAAATTATGCAGTATGCTTTTAATCTTTTCTCACATAATGCACCTGTTCAACCCAATGGATATAATGAAGAGGAAATGAAGCTGGTCAAAGAAACAAGAAAAATATGGGTAAGTAAACTTGTTAAAACCTTGGTACTCAATGCTCATGCCTGATCCTAGAGACAGCAATAAAATAATTGGACAGCTATTGTAATAACTACTAACCCACCCATTCTGCTTGCTATCAGAGTGACAAGGATGTCAAGGTTACTGCAACATGTATACGTGTTCCTGTTATGCGTGCACATGCTGAAAGCGTGAATCTTCAATTTGAGAATCCCCTCGATGAGGTACTCTTTGCTTAACTTACAGCAAATCCCCTTTGTTATTTATCTTTCTGTCCTGACAAATGATTCCTTTGTTTTTTCATACAAAGTGATTCCTTTCTAACTTCAGTTTTTTTAAAGACATTGAACTTGTGTTTATTTTGTTCTGGAATGTGTAAAATGAATGAAACTTTAGCTCCGACATTGAAAAGTTCCACGATCCATTTAACCCATTTAGCTTCTAGCAAAAGCTTCATATGGATTCAATCAAATATGTTCTTTGTGGCTTTTCAAAAAAAAATCAAATACTAAGAGATGCTATTCTCTTACTTTCCCCTAACCTCCAATATAAATTGCTTTAAGCTTTTTTTCTAACTGTGCAGAATACTGCAAGGGATATTCTTAAAAATGCACCAGGTATAGTTGTAGTCGATGACCGTGCAAGTAATAGATTCCCAACCCCACTTGAAGTTTCCAATAAAGACGATGTTGCAGTTGGGAGAGTACGTCGTGATGTTTCTCAAGATGGAGATTATGGGTAAGAATTTGGTTTATATGCAAACGTTATCTCTAAATGCTTTACCTCCTTTCCAGGACCCCAGAGCTAATGACTTCTTTTTATATAGGCTGGACATCTTTGTTTGTGGTGATCAAATACGCAAAGGAGCCGCCCTTAATGCTATCCAGATTGCAGAAATGTTGTTGTAGATTTGCGATATAGCACCCTTAAAGGTTCTAATTTTGGCTCCAAATGTGAGAGACAGAGAATCTTAAAGGTAGTATTCCTTTAGCATTACATTTTGCTCAGCAAAACTTGGGAATCCTCATTTACGTTAGTTGAGTTCATTCTAGTTTGGAGAGAGATTTTACTTCAATTCAAACTCTTGTTTCTGTCAAACTTCTGTTATTTATAATAATATTGTTGGTTCAGCTGGTGTATCTTCCCATATTTTAATTTTACCATTAGATCCTTTGTCTGATGAGGATAGCATGTACATTGTTTTACTCTTACCTTCATATACTCATTTGTGAGAGTATACGGGATATGTTCGATTAGTTTGATAAACCCAAGAATTGTAACAAATAATAGATCAAGTTCACCATTATAAGAGTATCAACTCAATTTATTCATCTGTTATGTTTTGAGAATATAATAACTAAAGTTGGATAAGCAAACTGCAGAAGTTCCCTGGCATTGGTAAAGGAAATTTGTTCCACTAGAGATATAATAAAAAGCCTAACTTAGATAGATCATAAAATGTGTCTTCTTGCTACAAGTGATAAATGTTACAACGACGAAACTGCACCCACACTCCAAAAAGTACCTAGCAAAATTTCATTCATTTCCTAGAAAATATTATTGGAAAGAACAATCATACGAAGGAAAATTAATTGGACAACGTGGGCAAGGGAGTAGTAGTAGTAGCATAGCCATTTCCAGATTGACTTTCCCAGACTAGTTCAGAAAGATCACTCTCGAAGAAGGAATGGTGGAGAGCCCTAACACATTGTTCCGCTTCACTATCATTTACTATCAACGAGATATTAACCTGTGCATCAGACACAAACGTTAAAGAGTGTTGTATGTTGTAACACTAACAAACGTTCTCCAGTAGGCATGATTGACGTATAGTAGCTGTGAATGCAATAAAGGGTAGATTACCTTGGATGCACCTTGAGAGATCATCTGAACGTTGACACCATTGGTACGCATAACATGGAAAGCCTGTAGTTCAATGCACAAATTAGGTAAAGCGGACACAGTTAGAAGATGATAATATGTCAAACACAAAAGAAACTTGCATGCTAGTGTGTCATGTAACAGTATTCAAACACTGAACAAGTAGAAGAATGTACAATTGATAGAATGAGACAGTGAGCACGTGGGCTGTGAGGTGGCTAGGAATTCCGGTTAATAAATCACAGAGACAAAACTCAAGAGTTGGGACGAGCTACAGTATGACTACGACGAGTGAGCCTTGAGACAACATATTAGGTCATGCAGTAGCACATTGAGCTAAAGTTATAGAGAAATAAACAAATGGAAATTCTGTTGGTCACTAAATGAATGTCTACAGCCGTTATAAAAGGTCAGTAATAAGCACCTTTTCCAAAATCAACGAGGACCTCTGGACGTTGCCAATAAGAGAGATGATTGATCTGTTTTGAAGTAGCTTCACAACTGCAATTTTCTCAAGTTCTTCTACAACGTTATCTAGCTCCTGCACGACTCAACTATTAAAAATGTTACAACACACCCCTGAAAGACACCTTAAAATGAAACCAATGAAATTAGGGGTATGGAACATATGCATATATGAGAATTGAGCCGATTCAAAAACTGGTAGTGAGTGAGCGCTTAAAAATAGATTGAATGAGAAAGTTGAAATTTATTCAAGTCATGAAGAAATAAAGAAGATAATCATACGCTTGCCTGTTGAATTAGTTCTCTGCTCCAAAGTTTTGATGGGTCCAATGTTAAGGAAATACTAACTTCACTTGTCGCAACGACATCAACAGAAATCCCTAAGTCTTCAAAGATGGAGAAAACCTGAACAGGAACAACATAAGAAACTTGACTTCCGGGCAAAGTACTACTCCCTCCATTTCAATTTGTTAGGATGATTTTGACTTGGCACGGAGTTTAAGAAAGTAAAAAACATTTGAATCTTATGATCGTAAACTAAAAATATGTAGACAGTACAATGTACCATATTGCAAGTAAGACAAACAAATTGAAACGAAGGGAGTAAAAGGTTACTTGGCAACTACTACCTTTGCAAGGAAGCCGAATTGACCAAGCATACGGGTACTCGCAATATCCAACATGGTTACATTTCGTTTAAGAACAATACTTGTAAGTACCGCCTGCAAAGCATGGAGGAAACAAAATCGAGTTAGCTTTACATCATTTCTGCTGATAAATGATTTGGTGAAAAATGAAGAAGCTCTCACCTTACTCATATCTCTTGTTTTAACGATGAGAGTACCAGGAGCTTTAGGATTATACGAGTTTTTAACCCTAACAGGAATATCACCCTCTCTAGCAGGCCTCATGGACTGTGGATGAAGGACCTGTAGAAACATTTTCGGAAGCCAAAAGTATAAGGGTAGCAGCATAACTATCCTAAATACACACTTAAAACTGCCAATTTCATGTCTTCAGATCTCCATTTTAGGTTGTCCAAAATGGATCACTTTCCATAAATTCACCTCCAGAAAAGAGAATCTCCGGAAAAACTTCTTGACTAACTCGTCCGAAGGTTTGAATAGCACTATTATGTTGGTATAGGCAATTAGGACACTAAATAACTAAAGAAGCTACAAGTGGCATATCCAGAATCAACTAATTTCTGAAACAGCTAAGAATACCTGTGCACCAAAGTATGCAAGTTCAGCTGCCTCATCAAAAGTTAGATATGGCACAGTCTCAGCACGTGGATATATGTTGGGATCACATGTCAAAACACCGTCAACATCCTTCCAGACCTGTCAGTAATATGAAAAAGAGATTCAGATTTTAGGCAACAATAACACACTTGCTTGATAGCACCTCTTGTGCTTATACAAGGATGAGTGCAAATTAAAGACATATTCTAGCACATTTACAGCATCCCGGTGAACTCAGCTCCCACTATGCAGGGGGTTCGGGCAAGAGCCAGACGGCAAGGGTCTTTGTACGCAACATTACCTTGCATTTCTGCAAGAGGCTGTTTCCAAAGCTCGAACTTGTGACCTTTTGGTCACATGGCAACAACTTTACCAAATATGTCAAGGCTCCCCTTATTCAATCACATTGACGTCAATTAATAAAAATAGTGTATTCAAGATTCAGTGACCAAGTAGTAAACCTGAATTTCACGTAATCCCAATGCTTTACCGATTGTTGTAGCAGTCAAGTCACTACCACCCCTACCTAGTGTAGTCACAGCACAAGTTCTCCAACCCTTCAATCAGATACACACAACATTATCATTCACGAACTGCAAACACTAGGGCAAAACAACCAAAAAAAATGCATGAAGAAGTTTAAAAAGCAGCACCTTCCCAAGAAACCCAGTGACAATAGGGATTGCAGGATTACTCATCCAATCACCAGTTAATCTCTTTGCAACAGCAGGATAAGTTGCTTCCAATATATCCGCATTAGTAAAATCATCAGTAGTTATAATACCCATCTCAAATGCATCATACTGCAGAGGAAACCCAAAAGAAGATGATCAATACTTTAATACAAGAGATGCCAACAAGAAAACAAGGAACAACGTAGTTAGCAGTCCTGTAAAGGCAGGATCAGCATGATACTTTTTTCAGAACCTTGACCAGTTATCAGTTGCACGTGCATGTGATAAATGGTCAACGCTCTGAAAAGACCAAATAAGATGCATGGAGTTAAATGTACGTAGTTACCAGATTAAGAGAGCAAAATAATAATTACTACACAAGGCTGGAATTGCCTGGAGAATTTCTCCAGCTCTCTCATGTTTCAAGTAACCACTTTAAGCTTTCTTTGCTCCATTTTCAAATTAATAACTTTGGCAAAATAATCCATGGATATCAAGAGCCCGAGAACACAATATTTTAATGAACTCCAAGAAAATAGTTATACTCAGTTTATTGCATATTAGAAGTTTGGGAACTCTGAAAATGGCATAATTGAAAAATATACATACTTGGCGGGCTTTGACACCAAGTTTATTCAGATATGCGGAAAATATTCTCGTGGACATACACTCTCCAAAGGACACCAAGTAGTCCTTTGCTCGTGGAGTCAACTCTTTCATCAAAGCAATTCCATTCAAAAGTTGTTCCAGTTCGAGTAGATGCTCTGCAAAATTTTCCATTAAGATATGGCAATCAAATAGACATGTTTGAAAATTACTTCTGAGAATAATGTGGTATAACACCTGCAAAGGATAGAAGATCCCATGGATGCAGACAATAAAGTACATGCATAACATTAAAAGGCCATTAAATATGTTGCTGAAAGCATTTTTCATCCATAGTAGTTGTACTTATTCCTCTAGAAAGGTTACATCATTACAATTATGAAATGAGGGGCATACAACAGTTGGATTTTAATTTATTCCGTAAATGTTTAGAAACACTATGTAGGCCTTAAACAATTTCTATGATACAAGAAACAACATTTAGATACACTTTTACTAAGGAGGGTAATTTTAGAGTTCTTTGGATAACAGAGGTAATGGAGGCTTAACCAAGAAAGTTCAGAAGAATTTAGCATTCTAACATTTACAAACAACTACAGCTCAATCCCAAGTAAGTTAGGATAAGCATATGAATTCCCACAGTCCATGTCACTCCTAACATTTACAAGGGCAACAAAATGCAAGAACCTTGGAAAATCAAGTGTTACCCAACACCCTTTTTTTTCCAAAAGGGAACAAAACAAACATGACACTGGAGTTCCAACTAATTACTCACTTGAAATGGTAGAACTCTCTACTCCAAGTTCGTCTATTGTCCTGTGTGAGGGTCATAAAAATGAGGAATTAGAATAGATCAAATAGATGAACAGTGATCTTGGAAAACAAAACGACATTCAGGTTCTCATCTTCACCTAAGATGGAGCTCCTTTATAAAAGCCAACTCTTGCAGATCAGAAACATTGGAAACACCACAACTCTGAGCCTTTTCACCAGCCTGAAATACATGTATGCATATAAATAAGACGCATTGTAAATGTTCAAAGATCCTTTAAAATGGTTTTGAAACAGTACCAGCAAAAGGTTGTTTGTTGTCTTTCCCATTGCTGAGAGAACAATAACAGGTCTCTCTTCTGGAAAGCTAAGAATAAGATCAGCTACTTCTCTCATTCTTTCGGCTGAGGCTACTGATGAACCACCAAACTTCATAACACATGTCAATTCATCAGGAGCCTCACCAAAAGATTCATTCTTGGTCTCTTTACGATTAACATCAGTTGCTTGTGCTTTACATACCAATCTCTGCACTCTTTCACAACAAGAAACCTTCACAGATTTACTTGGCGCAGAAACAAAGGGGACAGTAGCCACAAAATCAAGTTGTGGGAAGTGCACGCTTCTTTTGAATATAGAAGGGCAGGGAGTTTTAACCCCAGAAAAATGTGACAATGTTGCCATAATAAATCAGCTAAGGAACCTCCAAAAAAGGATATAAATGACAATAAAGTTCTTTCGACGAATGAAGTGACTCGGGTTTTGCAAAAAGCAGAGAGAGCCAATTAACTTAGCTAATTAGCTCCCCCTGCTGAAAATATACTCCAATAATCAAGCAATCCTGCACAATTCCAGCAAAAAAAATGAGCCTACTTCAAACATAAACATACTAAAACAATACACTAGACCTCCCATTTATAGAAACAATACTCCAACGTCCCACTTAACTTTAAGCAACCGTATTTAACAATACACCGTAAATTAGAAGCTAATTTAACTTATACATTGGATGAGCTTTCACATACACCTTTCATATGGAAATCTTCCTTCAGCAAACTCTGACATAGTATTGATAACAAATCCACACTATACATTAGTAATAAGTACAGAAAAGTAAGATTTTTATGTGATACTGAAATGTAGTATCATCAAAGTTTACAAATTTACCATAAGATCAACAATTTAACGAATACAAGAATCTCGAAACCAACATTATATAAAACATTTCTCCTAAAACCAAAGCAACATCAATAGTATTGCTCCCAAAAGACCATAAAACCTTCATCACATTGTTCTGTAACATTATTGAAAGAACCATTAGCTAAATATAACACATATAAGAATCCCAAAAGCTCATACAAATTCAATTCACAATCATTTACAAGACTTGTAAAAAGAACCCCCAATCCCATTCTAGCTACAAATAAGCATGCAAAATCAAAAAAAATAAAAAAATAACAGAAATACATTTTTAAAAAACGCAACGTTTCTGATAAATATCATTCATTTCATGATCAAAAACAAAATTTAAAAAAAAAACATTTCGCATACCTGATTCAAAAACAGATTTTTCAGGTTCAAAACTGCCGTCTGAAACCAAACTTTCGTGGGAAATTTACACTATTTCTTGAAATTGTGTTAATGGTGTCGTAAACCCAATTGGGGGAAGAGAAAAGGGTCGTTAAATCACAAATTCTTAAAGCAGCTCAGAGAGGAGAAGCTCGGCAGGGACGTGGCTACAGGTTTGGCGGCTTAGGTTTTTGTTGTTTTTTCTTTTACAATTTGATACTTCATTTTTGACATAATATATTAATTCGTTTTAAAAAGAATGATCTAACCTAACTCAGTATCAAAATTTTTATAAAATAAAAAACTTTTCAATTTTATGTTTTTAAATTAAACTTGTATTAAATATATCAAATATTTTTAATTTTGTGATCATAAGCATATAACGTGTAAAAAAACATTTTACCTTATATTTAAAAGAAAATTATATTGATTATCCATTATATTCCAATTTTTAAATATGGTTATCTTTATCATTCACAACTTAGACACATAATATATTCTTAAATTATTTACTAGTTGAACTAGGAAAATCTATTATACGCAAGTTTTACTTCTTGTTTTTGTGCATAGAGTTGTTTATGTGAATGTTATGTGTATAAATTTATATTTTATTTTATTTAATTTTAATAAATTAAGAGAAAGTTATGTGTATAAGTAAATATATATTAATTAATTATTTAACATAGTTATAGTTTATCTTAATTATAATTCGCGATCTAATTTAAGTTATAATTACGTGGTTCATTTTTTTAATTTGGCATAAATTGTATATTTGTATAATTTGAATTTTATATAGTATATTTTGTATAACTTTTATATAATTTGAAATTTGTATAACTGTTTACACTTTTGATATTTGTAGTTGTATAAATTCGTTATTTTGAGTTTGTATAAAAAATAACCGAAATTATACAAATGTACTTGCGAATTATAAAATTCAAATGATACAAATTTGTGAATTATACAAACGATTCAACTTAAATTGTAGCTACAACTTGTTTATAAGCAAACTATAGCTATGTAACATAATTAAATTTATTATAATGGCTATTTGCGTAATTAACATGCCTACCACCTTTTTTCTTAAGGTTGAGTTCATATGTCATTTTATATCTTAGTTTTAATTATTTCTTTTTTATTATTATTTTTAAAAAAAATATTTCGAGAATCAAATTATCTATTTGAATTCAAATATAGATATTCTATCATTATTAATTAATTAGTGACCATTTTCTATCAATAATTGTGGTGGAAAAAACATTTACTAAGTTATTTTCTTCCTCATTTTTGTAATGGGTATTTTTTTCCTATATATCTCTTCATGAAATTGATTGATTGATGTTTGTATCCTATCTTTATTTCTTTTTCCTGTCCCGTTTTCCCAAATAATTTTTTTATTTAAAATAAATATTCTTTGGTTATACATTTTTTTTTACTTGAAAGAAATCATTAACTTACTTTATTTATCCAAAAGAATTTATATATTTTCTAAATTAAAGAAATTCTTATATAAAGAAATGCTTTTTAATGTCCAAAATCTACGCAAAAACAAATTAAGCTACTGAAATTTTAGTAATTATTAAAATTAAAGTAACTATTGTAATATGTACTAAAATATATTCACAATATTTCTTTTGAGTGGCTAGATATATTCTAGGAGCAAATTTCTAACATCATTTGAAATAACTTATTTATATTAATAAATTAATTAATTAAAATGAATTGGTACAATTTTTCACATGATTACGATTGCGACTTGTAACATTAATGAGACCATTAATTTACATAATTCTACCAATAAATATTAAAAATATATTTATTGATAGTGAACTTACACATACACATCAATGACACATCATTAGATATTAGCAAAAATGCATAGATGACTCTTTTGATATTCTTTTCTGAAATATAATTTAAAAAAATATATGTTATTTGTCACATTATAATGTAATTTCAAATCTCACAATAACATAATATAATTATATAATGTCATATATGTTACGATCCAAATCAGGGACAACACGAGCCTTTTAGTTACGATCCAAATCTGGATGATATAGGATGACGATCTCATTTGTTGGGAGCTCGATGAGTAGGCTAATTTACTTCTCACAATAACATAATATAATTATATAATGTCATATATGTTACGATCCAAATCAGGGACAACACGAGCCTTTTAGTTACGATCCAAATCTGGATGATATAGGATGACGATCTCATTTGTTGGGAGCTCGATGAGTAGGCTAATTTATTTTACGTTTCAAAACAACAAAAAATTGACTTGCTTTCTTGTACTCAACTTTCATTCAACTTTCATTCATGATGAAATTTCTTATGTATCTCTTATTATCTAATGTTTTTGGATTGATTTTACTTTATTTAATTGAAAAGTCTCTTCATTGATGATCTTAACTAGCCTCCCTCTTAGCTAAGGATTCCTTTCTTAGTATCAAATTATTTATCATGATCGAAAAAACACTTACAAACCTTTTTGTCGTTTAGAAGTTTATGTGTTGGATGTGTATACTTTTCAAGAGCTACTCCGTTGTTTTAATTTGTTTCTCTTAGTTATTATTTCGATAGTAAAATAAATTATTTTTTATCAATATATTAATTCATTTGATCTTCATATTCTAAATCAAGCCAGACAAATTAATACATAAAAAATAGTAAAAAAAAACAAACAATTTCACAAGCACTCCAAAAAAGTGGTATCTTTTCACTCAATAAGTAGATATAGTGTTACATGTCTATTGTTGTTCATTAGCACTAGACATAAGGATTATTAATAAAAAAACTTCTCAATTTTCTTTATATAGCACATAAATAAAGGAAAATGAGGGGAAAAATCCAAAATAATTATTAGAAAAAAAACACACAAAAGAAACTTGTCCTATTACATATGCATGTCATGTCCATCTCCATAGACCTTATCTTTGACAAAAAAATAATTTATTTCCGCTTTAAAGCAACAAATAATTGACATGCTTTTTCATAATTTATTTTCATCCATGCTGAGATCTCTTCACTTTTGAGTATAGTCCTTGTAAAAGTTTCTTCTGTTATTTCATTCCCAAAATGATTGATAAAAACTTGTTGTAAAACAGCTGTTAGGTTTATAATTAAAGTCTTTGCATCAGCCTCATCCACAAGTTTTGATTTAGGATATGTTAATTCTATTCTCTCAATGCTAAAAAAATTATTTTTCTCCACCACTTTAGTCATGTCTTCAATAGAGGGAAAATACACTGGCACATTGAATGAGTCAACTAGAGATTCATCTAGCATTCCCTATATGTCAAAAAAAAAATAATTTAGCACTCAATACGATAAAACAAAATTCACGTAAAATGAGACTGAAGCGAGTTATCATTATCTTACCTCATTTATCAGATAAAACAAAACACGTCATATAAAATGAGACTGAAGCGAGTTATCATTATCTTACCTCATTTACCAAATCCATAAGAGTAGAGCCAAAAAAATTGAGGTAACGATAACCCGAAAATGGTGAAAGAATCACCATCATTCCTCCAGGGACAATTTCCTCAGCTCTTGCATTAAAGAACATTTCCATGTCCTTTTCAAATTGAGCAACATAAGCATTCACTACAATACTTGATGCACCAACATAGTGAATCAATCCCTTATTCCATGCTAGGGTTTTTTCATCTAACAATTCTTTTGGAACCTTAGATAACCAATGTATAGCACAAGAAGAATGTGCAAAATGTATGGATCGCGATGGAAATAATCTACCATGAAAAGATCCTGGAACTCCACATGCATAGTAGGATCGATCGATAGGGAGTGATCGAAAGAGGGTGTTGAAATCATTGTTGACATGATCATTGAAAAATACTTGGAATTCAAGATTGTTATCATGGCACTTTTCCTTTACAACTTGTACAATATGTTGCATTGAGTTGAATGTGTTTGGTCCAATTGAACATCCCAACTCTATAATATTAAATGTGTTTGAAGAATAAGTAAACATGTTTTTGATGTCAAGATTTTTAATAATTGCTTCTTTCATCATCTCCTTTGCACCATCTAACACTTCTCTCTACAAAATACATAACATTTCAAAAAATAATTAGTTTATAATAAGTGATTGAGATTCAACAATAGTGCAAGAAAAGAATACCTGTATTTGGGAGTTTTTGGAGTAGCTATAAACAGCATCACCACCATTCATAGGGAAAGATGTTGTCATTTTGAATAATTCTTGCTCATAATACCCTTCTTGATCTTCTCCTATATAATATGTGGATGGGATTAAAAAACTTTTAAGATAGAGTTGACTTAATTTGTTTAATAGAGGGATTCACAAAAAGGATATTTTTTTTTAATATAAAAAAATAGCATTTTTTAATTCAGTTTATGGTAGGGTTATTATTTAATTGTCAAGTAGTAGTAGCATTTTTTAATTGACGTTATCCTTGTATTTTGTAAGTTCTTGTAATATGTGAGCAAGGATATTATTTTTTTCCTTGGGAAAATCAAAACAAGATTTATTGTCCACCTTCATCCCCCATACTCTAATAAATACGGAGAGAAATTAATATGATATAAATAAAAATAGTAAGTATTAAATTGTTATAAGATAAAAGAAATAAGGATAATTTTAGTGAAATGGTCATTATATTTTATGTTTTTAAGAGATACATAAAAAAAAAATAATGAAATATACTTTCGAACTATTGTAAAAATATGCAGATATTATATTTTTAGGACATTGATTCTTCTGCGATAAAAAAACTAGAGCATATATGGATTCACTCTAACAGGAGACTAGATAGAGACAAGTGACACAATCTTATCTCAATTCAATATTTAATAAATATCAATCGGTAGATAAAATTATGACAAGTATATGTATGTTAGTATAAAGGATATATATGTTCTAATTTTTGAACAGCAAAAACATCAATGTCTCAAAAGTATGACAGAGAATATCTGCATATTATTTACATAGTTCGAAAATATATTTATTCTTTCTCCCCAAATAAAATGAAATGTATAATTTTTGTACCAACATATAAAATAAAATTAAAAAAACACTTTACTCTGCCCCTTTTCCCTTCTTAGTACATATGCCAATAATAAACAAATAAATAAAATGAATAACTCTCCAATTAAACTCAAGTTCTATATTTTACCCCATATTATAACTTATATACATTGCACAAGCCAATTAATCAAAATAACTAATTACAACCCACATTTTTGGGGACTTCTCAAGAAATAAACAATATATATATCTCCATCCTTTGTTTGGGGATTTCGACTCTCAAACTCTATAAATAAAGTCGTCTTTGATAAAAAATACTATTACCTTTTAAAATACTTTTTCTTTATGAATCTGAATTAACTGAAGTCCACAACGAGTATTACTAGACGTAAAAGATTAAGAAGAGATATTTAGCAAGGAAAATTTAACACGCAAGCAAATTTTCCCTCTTTCCAAGTCCAATTTTGCCCCGGTAACCAACCAATGACCTGGACTATCCAATGGGCCTCTACACAATTGTGTTGTATCCACAAATTTAAGTAGCTTTTGGGTATGCACCGGCACCGGTGGGCCCGTCGGGTACACACCCGAGTCCACCACCACCGGTTTTTCGGATAAAAACCCGGGAATCGAGGATGCACCACTAATAGCTGATAAAAAACCCGATGATGATTTCGTGCAACTCTCAAAGGCACATTGCATCCACTGAGACTGCACGATACATGAGTTAGAAACTTTAGAATATAACAATCTGAGATGTAAGACACTCTTTGTATCGTGTTTTTTAACGTGGAGTTGAGCACCCGTAACGATGAAACTAAAGCCATTTTCGTATGGTGCCCAATTCGGATCGTACTTTACAGGAGCCGTGCATACGTGTGAGAATTTTTTCCACTGGATGGGTTCGAAATATCGATGGTCGGGTGTGTCTTCGGACCCGCGCCACGTCAGCGGATCGTCTATTTTGTCTTGTAGGAGTACTGGAGTGTTTATCAAGTGTTGTAAATGTATGGCCAGCCTGAAACAACCACTATCTTTATTAGCTTAGGTTATAAGGTTTGTTTTTTATTCTACGAATGACAGTAATCGTATCACATGAAATGAAACGAAAAAAATTATATTTGATTAGGAAAAGGAATTACCTATCACACTTTACTCCTTCAAGATAAAGTCGTATTCCAGTTACAGGTGTCTTCCCAACTATTACCTGACAATACAGTAAGATATAATTAACAGCATTAATTTGGATTTCTAGAGTTAAAAGCAAATATATATAGGTCATATATAAATGAGTTATCTAATTTTTTTCTCTGATAATATTTATGATCTTTTAATTTTGGGTATATATAAGTAGATAATATGAGGCATATACTAAAAATATACGTGTATAATCTAGATAAATATTGTGAGAGGTGGGAGTTAAGAATTGTATGAGATGAGCTGTGTTGAAGGGTGGAAACTGGGGAAGAAAAAATGTTGACGGATTTCCAGAAAAATCTATTTTTCGAAAATGAAGAAAGAGAATTTTTCATTATTTATGTCTCTCCAACTCTTCAAGATCTTCCGTGTGCATGTCGGATCCTCCAAAACTAAATTACTTTGTTGGATCTGACACATGCCTGATAACATGGTTTGAAGAGTCTGAGCAAACATAACTTACATATATCAGACACACTCACGTAAAATGAAACTTGAGGAGCATTAATTTGAGGTACATAAAGTTGAAACTTTTACCTGAGTTGGGTTTACATATAGCTTTGGGCCCATCAAATTGAAATGAATGGCTGGAGGTCTAATGGACCTATTTGTAGTTGGGCCTAAAGGAAGATCATTGTGAATAGGAGCCCAAATTTTGTGGGCTTGAAAATCCAGAAAATATTGCAAATCTGCTATGGGTGGCTTATCTGCAAATCAATATAATAATATAAATTAAATTATTCGACTTTGCATTTATTCAAGAAAATATATGGGAAAGGATGTTACTTCAAAATAAAAAAAAATAAAATCTTGAAACAATCCTCTCTAATATTAATTTTAGACTACATAAGACAAAGAAATCCTCGTGAACGAAATATCTCATGTTAAATCGATCTGAAAAAAAGGTTGTCTCCTAGGTTGTATATATCGATGGTTGATTCTACGATTCAAAAATGTAATGTAACTATATTGTTAGTGTAGTTTCGATAATACTACATCTTTATTTTTAAAAAAAAATAATCTGATGCACCTAACATCTCACGCTTGCGCAAGGAATGTATGATGTAGGTAGTTCATACACTCTACGTAACTTATAGGTTGCACGAAGATAATTGTATCGTTATTTTGAGACTATATAAAAAGAGAAAAGTATATTATTAACTTACATCTAAGATAAAGGTTGATAGCATGTGATAAAAAGCCCTTGCCAGGAACACCTTTGAGAAGTGAAGTAATAGGAATGAAGTTAAAGGCAATAGCATCTGGCATTGAAGGCACTGTTAGAAGCCATTCACTATGTGTATTTGCTGTTAAATCTCCACCTCTTTTTGAACATATCACAGTTACACCCTGCAATAGAAAAAAAAATTATATAATGTTTTTATATTAAGTTACATAATATAATATAATTTTTCGATGAAATGTGTTTGATAGAATCCTTTGACAATTGACTCTACTTAGTTCCGTCACAGTATAGATTGTTAAAGTACATCACATCTTTTTTGAATGTGACTCGTTTTAGAATTTTACGTGAACGCATCATATTTCGTTCATGAAATTATCCCTTCTTTTTTTTTAATTGATGGTCAACCAAAAGCTCAAATTTGATTTTCTTTGATTCTTCCAGCTAGATTAATGTATATAAAATTATTTCACATTGAATTATTTTCAGTATTTTTAGAGATCTAGTTGTTAATATTGACCTGAAAATCTTTAGACTTTTTATATTTTTGCTAATTTTTTGATGAGCTAAATTCAAAGAATCTCCCATGTGTGATGGATTATGTTAATTAGAAGCTTCTTAATGTCAAAAGTTTAACACAATTAGCTGGAGAATTAGACCTATGACTGTTTATGATGATACAAATCAAAGCAAGAAAATTGACCTAACAATTTATGACTAAATTCGATTTGATATTTGTATTGGGGCTTTAATTACTAATTAAATTTAAATTTGCACATTATACGTTCCACTTTTGAGCGCTAGACTACTCCTAACAATATCATTTTGATTACTAGATGTTTGAAAATTGAAATTTCTAATTAAAAGTGAAATTTTTTTGTACCATTTCACCATAACTCATTTGATTTTAACAAAGTCGTAAATGATTGATAAGCATTAAGTACTGATAAGAACTTTTTAAGTGTTAGAAATTAATTTTTTTGGGACATTGAAAATTTTAGGTGATTATAAGTCAGTATTTTTTGACTTTTAGGTGCATTTTTCAATATAAAATTGAAAATTAACATATACAATTGTCAACTTACATTTTTGGTTGTTGCTGATGGAAAGCTGCTAAAGATGTTGGGTTGTGGATCAAAAATATTGAATGCCTGCAATTCAGAAATAAAAATGAAAAAGAAAAGAAAAAAATCAGTTCAATTGAAGTTATATACTCCATCCGTTTAAAAAAGAATTACCTCTTTTTTTTAATTTGTTTAAAAAAGAATGACCTTTTTCTTTTTTTGGTAACAATTTTACACATGGTATGTTTAAGACCATAAAATTAAAGGACAATTTTGTACATTTGACATAACTTTAATTTAGGACTATACGATCAAAAATCTTTTTTATTTTCTTAAACTCCGTGCCAAGTCAAACAGAGAGTAATAATTAATTATATTTCTTTTAAATTCGAGTTTTAGGTGTGGAAAAAGAAATGTCTCCACATTTTTATATTAATAGGTTAGAGAAAGATTACGGAAAAACAATCGAGGGTAATAGCATTATGGATAGTATTTATCAACAATTAATCAAAGGATCTCAGGTTTGAGCCCTGATTGAGTTACATTAATAACATTAAATCCTCGAATATGTTCAAAGATTTTGAAATGATTTTCCCGTTCGGAGGATTGAATTGGCCAATCTATAGGAAAAATCCTGATAGAATATGTTTCCCTCTTTAATGGACGAGAATCCAAAATAGTCATACTTTCACAATACACATATCGAAAATCGAGTGTGAGATTATAAAAAAAAAGTAAAGGAAAAAAACCTTATGTTTTTGTTCTCTTGATTTGAATTGTTGTGGACAATAGTTGCAAATGCCAGTGAATAATTGATCACCAAGTTCATCCAAGTGGTTCTTGAGTTGTGATGGTTCCATGTTTGATAATTTGTCTTGCCTCACTAGGACCACATCTTGTCCTCCAATACTTAACCCCACTATTATGTGTGTACCATATTTTTCAATAAACCTATCACAATTAACAAATAGTTAATTTCTTTGTATTTAAATGAAATATTCAATTACATATATATCAAATATTGATTGATATCGACTCCTCAGAATTCGATAACTTTAACTCCATTTACAACTAATTAGAAAGGAAAACTT